ARGCGGTAATGGTATCTTTGGATCGTTCTGTATGTTGTAGGAATGGATGCCAGATGACCCTGTCAGCTTCCTCTGGCATGCTGCGGATATCACTAATCCGTTGGTTGTGGTCGTTCAGGAATCTCTGGGTAAAGGCAGACACTGCCTGGTGTTCGCTCGACTGCTGATAGTAGTCTTGCATAGCTTTGATATCTTGTTCGACATTCTGGTGGCGAACGGGTGGCGGTGGAATCGAGAAGGTTTCCACATTTCGCTCTCGAAAGTAGTCCTTCAGATAGGAGTGATTATCATATCGATCTTCCGCGAAGAGTGCCACCGAGCTGACATCGTATCCTCTGATATGAAGAGATTCCCATGCTGAGATCGTGGTGCCTATTCCTCCAAGATTGTGGTCCCCGACCAGTAGAGCAGGAAGTCTCAGTGGCCGGTAGAGGTCTGCCTGGGAGCTACCGGATGGAGCAGGTGAGAGAACTCCGCCGGCAGTCTCTACAATTGCAACCCTGTCTTCACTATTGGCATATCCTTTGAGCTCATCATGTACTGCTGCGAGGACTGCTGCGTCGGTGATGGGCTATGGTCTTGTCAGTCTTGGGCACGAGCGATGTATGCATGGGTCTGCCTACCTTTCCAGCCGAACGAACTGCCAGATGTGGGCTTACTGGGTCGTCGAACTGGAAAAGACATCTCGAGTTGACAGACGATCCGAGTCGTGAGATATGGCTGGGATGGTGTCAGCTGTATGCGTTTAGGGTTAGGGTTTGGGTAGTGCTCGGCATGTCAACATCGGCCATGGCGGCGGAGAGGGGTATGCATATGCGTTCCAAACCGTCTGGCAGAGTACTCTGGATATGAAAGATGACTTACTGGTCGTCAGCTTCGTCCAATGGGCCCGTAGAGACGGGTTTGAGGTAATGGACGTTCCGAATTCGCTTTTGAAAAGCACGACAGAGCAAAGACGAGAAGATTGTCTTGCCAACTCCAGTGTTCGCACCGTACACTTGCAAGACACGAAGTTTCGGCCAAAGGACCGACCCAACCTGTCTCATCCTTCACCAGCCTTGGGCAATGAGCATCAAAACGAATGAAGATGAGGATTATCGATACGTATTCCGGCGTTGTGGCCCGAGACGCTCGCAGACCTCAATGCTTGCTCGGCTATGACCGGCCCCAACGAAGTTTGTTGACCCATGAACAGCAACATTGATTGGGATATCCTGGAAGACCTCTGAGCGCGAGGTGAGGTAAAAGGAACGCTGATCACCGGCTCTCGCACTTCTGAGAGTACGACGACGCTGCTCATTGATGCAGCTGCAGCATGCCGAAATCCATGTCTCACCTTGAAAAGTGTCTCTCCTCCGCCCTGGAGAAGCGGACAGCACAATCCACAATCCGGAACCTAACCACGTTCCCACCGGACTCGGTAGACTTCTCCTCTAATGACTTCCTCTCACTGGCAACATCAACGGAATTGCGGGAGACATTTCTCCACGAACTGAAGTCAGATCCCGCAGTTGAAGCGAACCTGGGGAGTGGTGGGTCTCGACTTCTCGACGGCAATTCAACATATGCCGAAAAACTGGAGCAAGACATCGCCTCATTCCACAACGCGGAAGCAGGACTGCTGTGTAATTCAGGATTTGATGCCAACACAGGACTGTTTTCTTGCCTACCCCAGCCTGGAGATGTTGTGGTCTACGATGAGTTCATTCACGCAAGTGTGCACGATGGTATGAGACTTTCCCGAGCGCGAAAGACGATTCCTTTTGCACACAATGATCCCAAAGCACTGCGAGCCGTGATCGAGCAATGTCGCAATGAGGATAGTGGCATCCGGGAAGGCAGACGAAACGTATTCATTGCCGTTGAGGGAGTCTATAGCATGGACGGAGATGTCGCGCCACTTCAGGAAATAGTAGCACTGATCGATGAAATCATGCCAAAGGGGAACGGCCACCTCATTGTCGACGAAGCACATWCAAACGGCGTATTTGGACCGAAAGGCAGGGGCCTTGTTTGCGAGCTGGGCCTCGAGAACAAAATCACAGTCCGGCTTCACACGTTTGGCAAAGCGCTGGCTTGCAATGGTGGAATTCTGCTCTGCAGCCCGTTGATTCGGCAATACCTGGTGAACTACGCCAGACCCATGATCTACACAACGTTCATGTCGTACCCGGCGCTGGCAGCGATCCGAGCTTCGTACTCGTTCTTGATGCTGGGTAAGACGGAGCCTCTGACGAGGAACCTGCAGATGCTCATACAAGTTCTGCACGAGCGGATGCTTGAAATGCAGGCATCTCTTCGGTTGCCATTGGCGGTCGAGCACTTGCTCCAAAGTCCTGTTGAGTGCCCTGAGACGCCGATATTTTCGATACTCTCATCAGAACCCAAGGTGCTTGCCGCACACTGCCAGAGAAACGGGTTTGTGGTGCGTGGAATCCTGCCACCTACTGTCCCAGAAGGAACTGAGAGGATTAGGGTTTGTCTCCATGCTGGCAACACGGTCGAGCAGGTAGAGGCGCTGGTTGCCATCATTCGAGCATGGGTAGCGAAGCGGGCTCAAGAACTGACAGCGGTAAAGGACGTACGGGCCCGGCTGTGATGTAGAAAGCTGTGCATGTAGCGCTCACGTGAAATCCACTGCTCAGAATTTCTTGTTTCGTTTTGTGATACCCTCTGCCAGCTCATATTTACACAAGGAACACCACTCGTGACACCTTTCTACAAATGCATTGGCGGGGGTGCTAGAAGATCTGTCAGCATGGCATAAACCGCGTGGGGTATGGAGACATACGGTCCAGATTTGGACAAGGCAAGTTGCGCTCGTACTTGCTTCCACCCGGCGCGGTGGGTGGTCTGTATGGGTCGGGGTGCTTCCACTTTTGCAGCAGCTCTTCAGTCTGCTCTAGGAGAACCTGTAGTGCGCGATCAGCGACTCCTCTTGCTGTATGCTGCCTTCAATGCCTCAATGGTCTTCACCTTCTGCCTACGCGGTTCCGTAACGTGCTTATTCGCTTCAAACAGTCCGCGGATGTACATTGCCTGGCCGCGCCAGACATATCGATGGACAGCCCAATCGAGGGAGAGCTTGAGAGAGCGGCGGTAGAGGGAGCTGAGGAATGTTAGATTGCGCACGCAGGCCTGCGGTCAGGATCGGGGGAGCCCACAGTATGGTACTTTTTGAGGCCATGATTGCAAAGCTGGGCAGAGCCCCGGTGTGGCTCGCAGTCAGTCCACAATCGCTTCCTTCGACTCGCGATATTGGGTATCAACGGAGCGGAGCGGAGTCAATAGCCGCGTTCGTGGGCCGGTTGTAGTAGAGGAGGTTGCCGCTTGTGTCGGCAGCGGCCGCGTGTGGTCGGAGAAAGAAGGGTGACGTTTGTGTCTTCCGGCAAGGATTGATCAACGCCAGTCAGTTGACAGCTTATTACCACGACAACTTCTTCCATCTTCACTACCACCTTCTACCGACACGACCTGCCGCGGGAGCTGCAGCTTGTCAACTATTCACATCATGTCGAGCGCACTCCGCCGTTTGGCGCCGCTTCGTCGTCCAGCGTCTTCCCTCCTGCGTTCGCATGCTTCTTCAGTATCGAGACTGCAGCAATCATCCACCGCCCTTCGCACACTCTCCACCGGCGCATCACCTTCAAAGTCTCTTCCCGCGCTTCTACAGTCATCGTGCGTCGCAAAATGCGCGACCTGCAACTGCGTCTAGCTAACAAACAAGCAGAAAGTCTTTCAACTCGCTACAAGTGCGCCAATTCAGCCTGACAAGTAGATGCCATGGTACGGTGAGCCGGAGTGATGGGAGAGGGATCATTCATTGACGTATAGAACAGAGGAACAAATCGTCAAGGTGCCAACCATGGCCGAGTCCATTTCCGAGGGAACCTTGAAACAGTTCTCAAAACAAGTCGGTGACTACGTCGAGCTGGACGAGGAGATTGCCACCATCGAGACCGACAAGATTGATGTCGCCGTCAACGCGCCTGCCGCTGGCACGATCAAGGAGTTTCTTGCAAACGAAGAGGACACTGTGACCGTTGGACAAGATTTGGTAAAGTTGGAACTCGGTGGAGAGCCTGGGGAGAAGAAGGCAGCAAAGGCAAACGACGAGCCAAAGCAGGCAGCTTCAGAGGATAAGAAGACTTCGTCACAGAAGGAGGGCGAGACGGAGAAGTCAAAGGAGGAGTCAAAGCCAGCGCCCAAGCAGGAATCGAAGCCCGAGCCACCAAAGCAAGAGTCAAAACCACAACCTCCCAAGAAGGAGGAGTCGAAGCCAAAGGAGTCGGAGTCAAAGCAGGAATCACCATACGGCAGCCGCGAGGAGAAGCGAGTCAAGATGAACCGCATGCGCCTGAGGATTGCAGAACGCCTGAAGCAGTCGCAAAACACGGCCGCTTCGCTCACCACCTTCAACGAAGTCGACATGTCCGCCCTGATGGCTCTACGAAAGCGTTACAAGGATGAGGTTCTCAAGAAGACGGGCGTCAAGTTCGGCTTCATGAGCGCCTTCTCCCGCGCTGCTGTTCTTGCGATGAAGGAGGTTCCCACCGTCAACGCCAGCATCGAGGGCCCAGRCGGCGGAGACACCGTTGTTTACAAGGACTACGTCGACATCAGCGTGGCCGTCGCTACTGAGAAGGGTCTCGTCACGCCAGTTGTGCGCAACGCTGAGAGCATGGACATGATTGGCATTGAGAAGTCCATCGCAGAGCTCGGAAAGAAGGTGAGATTGATTGGCAATCGGATCAGGAGATCCAAGCTAACATCCAACAGGCTCGTGACAACAAGCTCACCATTGAAGACATGGCCGGCGGTACCTTCACCATCAGCAACGGCGGCGTCTTTGGCTCTCTTATGGGCACCCCTATCATCAACCTTCCGCAGACTGCCGTCCTTGGACTTCACGCCATCAACGAGAAGCCTGTCGCAATTAATGGCAAGGTCGAGATTCGGCCGATGATGTACCTTGCCCTCACCTACGACCATAGATTACTGGATGGCAGGGAAGCTGTTACTTTCCTGGTGAAGATCAAGGTAAGAGATATCTATATCGAATGCTGCGAGAACGTTGCTGACACGACATGCTTTACAGGAGTACATTGAGGACCCAGCAAAGATGCTCCTTGCTGTTTGATGGTGTTGTAATAGATTTTAGCGTCTCCTTTGAGCTGCATTGCATTGCCTGTACAAACTACCCCCTGTCCGACCACGACTGACTGCGAGATGGAAGACTTTCTGCGCCTGTGCTCTCAACTCGGGGCTTCCACACCGACGATGTCTAACATCCTTCGCGCCCAATATACTCTCGACCATCTCGTCATATAGACCACCAATCAACCACTCGGTGCTTGCGCTTCCCGTGCGGATATCAGACAGCGTAGGAGACAGAACTTTTACTCCCGCGTGTCGGTTGGACAAAGCGTGGCGTGAGATTGATCCCAGAAACGCGTGCTGCACGCGGTGGTCTGTGTCCAAACTTTCCGTCGTCTCGGCCACCGTGACAAATATAAACATCACCTCATCTTGATAATCCATCGTTTCACAGTACAATCACACGGCTGTSCATGCAATTCTCCGGGTGGCATGCGGCTGAAGGATGCGGTGAGTACTAACTAGCACTCAGCGCCGAAAGATCAGCCTCGAGCAGTCAACTATCCCCCGGAATAGCCGACGTGCAGGTAAATGTTATCTCGGGCCATTTCCTTCGTCCTTCCTGTCCATTACTTCTTCTATAATCCTTCAGAACGATCCACAGGAAGATCACAGAATCCCGGCATTTAGGAACAGTTCTTTCACGACTCACCCCCAGTATTCGGTCGTTACAGCGTAAATCGAGACACATCCATCCCAATGACGTCCACACCGAATAATACGTCCCTCCAGCCAACGGACAACCTTCACAAGCCTCGAATACTATGCCTTCATGGCGGCGGCGTCACGGCAGAAGTATTCACAATGCAGGCCCGCGCTCTGATCTGGAATCTCCCGGACTTCCGATTAGTATTCGCCGATGGCCCTTTCTTCTGCAATGCCGGACCTGGGATCATCCCAGTCTACGAAGACTACGGCCCGTTTCGTCGCTGGATGAGATGGAAGGTCGAGCAACCCGAAGTTGACGACGAAACAGCGCTCGAAGAGCTCAAGTACTCGATCGAGACCTGCAAAAAGCGCGATGCTGGAACGGGCCCTTGGGTGGGAGTCATTGGTTTCAGTCAAGGAGCAAAAGTAGCTGCGAGCTTGCTATACGATCAGCAAATACGGATAGAGAAAGAGGGAAAGGCGGACACGGATTACAAATTTGGCGTGCTTCTTGCTGGCGGGTCTCCTTTGATCTCTCTGAGTGAGCACAGCAGGGGCCCTGCTTGTGTGAATCCGGGAGGAATGACGATAGACCACAAGTTTGACGACGTGAGCCCGCACATCTTGCGTATACCCACGATACATGTGCATGGACTGCGCGATGCTGGTCTGCCCCTCCATCGGAAGCTGCTCACGCGCGATTGCGATCCAAAAACATCAATCCTGATCGAATGGGATGGAGACCACAGAGTTCCTGTTAAGAAGCCAGACGTCGATCCTGTCGWGGACGCGATTTACCGCACAGCCAGAGCTCAAGGCGTACATCTTGAGGACTAGAGAGAGATGCAGAGAGATGCATCTCTGGTTTGAGCACCTGCTTTCATACACTCGACTTCCTTGTCTTGTCCTCCCCACAGTGTACAGAGGAACGGCGAGGACTTTGCACGAGAATCTATACTTGCGTACTCGAATAATTGCGATCAATCGGAAACATCATCCCTCAGCGCAAACGCCTGCTTGACCACTTCGTCCATTCTGGATCGAATGGCATCGTGGAACATGACATTCGTCGTAAAAACCTTGCAGCCTTTGATCTTCTTCGCAGTCTCCATGGCCAAGTCGGTATGCACATACATGTCTTCAATGTACGATGCAGCATAAACTGGAACTTCATTCTTCGCCAATTGCTCTTCATCGAAGAGAGGCGACCATTCCGGGTCGTTGGCGACAAGATTTGCCACATCTTGGACCTTCCGAAGCTCTGCATAGTCTTCAAACATGTGGGAGAAGATCATTTCCCCCGTAAAGTAGATGGGACCTTCGCGGTCGAGATCGAATTCGGGAAACTCTGACTGCAATCTCTCGGCAGACCAGCGTGGGGCTTGGCCTTCGCAGTAAATTGGCTCGTGAAGGATAGCGTAGATGAGGTGATTATCGAAGCCCTGAGCATTATCAATAGCACCGAGCGTTGCTCTCGTGATGTGGCCGAATAGCTGGCACCCATTAGAATGTAGATATCAAGAGGGATGCACATTAGACATACCTCAATGTCGCTGCTGGCTCTCAGCACAATCTCATGCACTGAGTCTAACCCACCGTGCATTCCCAGCGAGATGCCAAGTTGCTGGAGCCGCCTTCTAGTGAGATTTCCATCAGACGGCAACTTGATCTTGCCATCGCCAAAGCGGCAGAGGTATTTCATGATGGCCTTCACCCTCTCCACATCTTCTGGATATTTAGTGTAGAATGCTTCATTTCGCTCCTTGACCTTCTGATACAGCCTTCTGTAGACTTCATCTGGTGACTTTACAAGCGGCTGCAATCCACCGAACAGGAAAGCTTCTCTCAAACCCTCTGGGTGAAATGAGAGGTATGAAATGCTGCAGAAGCCTCCAAAGGATTGACCCATGATCGACCATTTCTGTTTCTCTTCCGGATAGTCAGCAGTGAGAGCTTGGCGGATGGATTCACAATCTCGAACAATGCTGTCTGCACGATAAAGCTTCAAGTACTGGGCCTGTACATCATTGTAGCCTCGCATTTGGAGAGTGGATGCCGTAACTGGAGTCGAAAGACCAGTACCACGTTGATCGAGAAATAGCAATTGGTATCCGGCATCCAGAATTCTGTTGGTGAATCCGTATGCTTGGGGCGAGCGACATTCCATTCCTGGACCTCCATTGAGGAAGACCATCCAAGGCAACTGTTCCTTCTCTGGGTTTGGCTTGGTTGTGGGGACTATGGGCTTTTCGAACTTCCTCGCACTGCGGGCGAAGACGCGGATCGTGCCATCTTCAGGCTTGGAGTAATCCTTGGGTACGTCGAAGAAATGCTCTGTTATTTTGAGTTTGCCGGCGACTGTGGTCAGTGTTAGTCCTTGCTATCTTCTTGCTATCTTCAGGAGAGGAAACTGTCCTACCTTGGAATGACTTTTGGCTTACAATCTTGGCTGCGGCGACTGCAGGCATTTTGCGGCTGAGGATGTTCATAGAGTGTTGTTGTCAGACGATGAGAACATTCCCGGTGCCCTGTAAGACTCTTGCTTGTGTTTTTAATGTATCCGATGATGCGATCCAACAACGCCAGATGTCGATGCTAGGAGCGTACGAGGGCAGAGGAATCGAAATCTGCCGGCTCTCCTAGTAGTGCGTCGACGACGCTGCTGACAAGAGTAAGCAGTCCTGCGAAGAGCGAATTTTCGGTCAAACGATGTCTCCTTCGTCGTGATGTTCTCGTCGTCGAAAAATCGACGTCTATTGTCCCAGCAGATTGAATGGGAGAGCTAGAGCGAACGAATGGTAAGGTAGAGCTGGAGCTTACGCACGGGCCTCTGGACAAAGTGAATGGTCGGAAGTTTTCTCGCCCAAACACCGACACTTCTACACATCAACTCATCAAGATGGCGAAAGACAAGAAGAAAAAGAAGGATCCTGCAAAAAAGGAGGCCAAAGCAGCAAAGCAGGTGACTGAAATCGTGCATATCGACCCCGAGGAATTTAAATGCTGATCTAGCACAAAGGCCGCGAAAACGAACAAGACGGAGAAGAAACTGACCAAAAGAGCAAAGGTGAGCTTGGTGGAGCCCTTTTTTCAATTTCGATCGTACTCACAATCACAGGACGATGATAGCGATGCCGAAGACGCCGATTTGGATGCCATCTTGGCCGCCTACCAGAAACAGCAAGAGGAATTTTCCAAGGTCACCGAGTTTACCTGTGAGCCACCTTCACCACGTTCATCATCAACTCTGGTTCCATCACCGAGCAACAGTTCGGAGCTGTTCCTATTTGGTGGAGAGCACTTCAATGGAGCCGTGGCTTCATTCTTCAACGATCTCTACATTTACAAGATCAACCAGGATTCCTGGAGAAAGGTCACCAGCCCCAATACTCCTCTGCCGAGAAGTGGTCATGCCATGTGCAAAGGTGAAAACTCTGGTGGTATCTACATGTTTGGCGGCGAGTTCTCGTCGCCAAAGCAAGGCACATTTTATCATTACAACGACTTCTGGAGGCTGGAGCCAAGCACCCGAGAATGGACGAAACTCGAAGGTAAAGGTGGCCCGCCGGCTCGTAGCGGCCACCGCATGACTTCATTCAAGAACTATATTGTACTTTTTGGAGGCTTCCAGGACACTAGCCAGCAGACAAAGTACCTGCAAGATGTCTGGCTGTATGATACCCAACGTTATGTCTGGCATGCAGTGAACCTTCCAGCTGCTGCGCAGAAGCCAGATGCYAGGTCGTCCTTCTCACTACTTCCACATGAGACTGGGGCTGTGCTTTATGGTGGATATTCCCGTATCAAAGCAACTACAGCGGTGAAATCCACCAAAGCTGGGAGAGCAGGATCGCGAGTCACTTTGAAGCCTGTCGTCCACCAGGATACATGGTTCCTCCGCATCACCCCTCCAGCTGCTGATGCTGCTGTCAATACACCGCCAACTGTGCGTTGGGAACGCAGAAAACGGCCCGCCAACTCTCTGAACCCTGCGAGAGCGGGTGCTACAATGGCCCATCACAAAGGGCGTGGAATTACCTTTGGGGGTGTTCACGATGTTGAAGAGAGCGAAGAAGGAATTGACAGCGAGTTCTTCAACTCCTTGTATGCTTACAACATCGATCGCAATCGATTCTTCCAGCTGAGTCTGAGACGGCCAAGAACCTCCGGCAAGAAAGCCGTACCCGCTTCAGAGAGAGGTAAGCGTGGTCGAGGCAAGGCAGACGAGGAGGAGTTGCTGCGAAACCTCGCAATCATCGAAGGCAAGGGATCGCTGAACGATACCGATATGCCTGATGCACCTGCGAAAGATGTAGAGGAGGATGATGATGAGCCGCGAGTCGAAAAGCCAACCATCTGGGAGTTTCCACATCCTAGATTCAATGCCCAACTGGCTGTACAAGACGACACATTGTACATCTTTGGTGGAACGTTCGAAAAGGGTGACAGGGAGTTCACCTTTGATGAGATGTGGGCAATCGATCTTGGAAAGCTGGATGGTGTCAAGGAGATCTTCAAGCGTGATCTCGAAGACTGGCTGGGAAGTGACGATGAAGAGGATAGCGATGAAGATGATGARGATGGTTCCGACGATGATGACGAGGATGAGGATGAAGGCGCGGAGCCAAGCACACCAGCTACATCAGTCGCGGATGAACAGGCCTTGACTGCGGCCGCGGTAGCAGCTCAGGAGGAAGCAGAAGCCGCAGAGCAGGAATCGACCGCCGCGCCCGACGATAAACTTCCCATGCCACGTCCATTTGAAACTCTAAGAGAATTCTTCAGCAGAACCAACAACGAATGGCAAGAAGTTGTTCTGGAAAAGAGGAAATATGAACGGGAGCCATCCGATCGCTCCGTCAAGGAGATTCGCAAGAAGGCTTTCGATCAAGCAGAACAGAAATGGTGGGATGTCCGCGAGGATGTTCAAGCTCTGGAGGACGAGCAAGAAGCGGCTGGTATCAGTGAGGTGGTTAGTCTTGCAGAGCGCGGTGGTGGAGCCGAGGGAGGCGCTGGCCGTAGAAGATAGGCAATGAGGATGTGTAGATAGCCGCACAGAAATTACAGCAAAGATGAATATTGTAGCCGAAATGGGGTGATGTGATGATAACGTGGTTGTCCAGGATCTCTGCTAGCTTCGAGGAATAAGCAGCCACTCGGCGAATTCGCAGCTCAGTCGTAGGYCTAGGATGTGATGTCGCCATATGGAGGGCCGGGCACTGCTCCTATTCGCGCGTGCGTTGTGACGTTGTAGCCTGGTTGTGCACCCCGTACAAGTGAAGAGGTGAAACACATCGCATCATCTGTGGTTCTCTCGAACATGGCGTCGTCAGAACTCTGGATAATGATATCGCCAGCCTTGACATGCTTTCTGCGTATTCAAATAGGCAACATGATACTGCAAATAGCGGGATCCTGGCTTCCGTTAAGTCTGTTAATATCCTATTAGCAAGAACATCAACATCCAACACGGCAGGTCAGTCATTGGCGCAAAACATCTGCCAGCGCATCTTCCAGCGCACAATTATCACGATACAAGACGCAAGAAGAACCATAAATAAACACAACAAGTCTCAGGTTATCAGCRACCTACACTATCTACCATTCGCACCGGCATGAAACGCAGGTGGACTTTGAGGAGTCTTTCTACCAGGAGGACCTATCGTACCAACAGACTTTACAGCCGGCACAAAAGGCTTCGCATCAGGCCGTGGACTGTTCGAACCGTTCGTACTGCCGTTCACCAGACTTGCGCCACCGGAGCCAGAAATGGATCCCGAATCGTTGCCATCACTGGCCTTGCGATCCGTTTGTGAAGCTCCAGCAGTGGTTTGGGGCCAAGTGTGCTGATGCTGAGGACCCATCGGCATGAAATCGTATTCGTCAGCATTGTCAGTGAATCCGCTAATTTGGCTGAGCATGGACGAACTACGTCCACGTGGACCACCAGTGGAAGTCGTATGCATGTGATTGATGCCCGGTTGACTGGCGGCGAAAGGCGAGCCAAACGTTTGCGGACCGAAAGGACCAGCTGGGAAGCCGTTGGACCGAGGACTAGGCTGACCGTTCAGAGTAGAATGCATTCCCTCTGGAGTAGGCGGCGAAGAGTACCCAGGGTAAGCTGGAGCGCCTTGCATATTGGACCATCCGGCAAGTGCGCCGGCAGCTTGATATGCTTCTTGCCCTTTCTGATTGTAGCTTTGAGCCTCCGAGTCCATGTGAGCGATCTGGTAGCGTATCTGTAAAGTCCTCTCGTCTTGTTGCTGCTGTTCCTGCGCGCGATCTTGCACTCGCTGCTGCTTGGCTGTCATGTCGGCTTGGTGCTTTGCGTTGAGCTTTTCCAGTTCCTGTTCGCGCTGAGTATTCCTTGCGACTAGTTTCTCCTTCTTCGATTCCGATGCAGAGATGTCAGTTCTCAAAGCGTTAAGCTCACGCTCCTGCTCGGTTTTGAAATTGTCCAAATCCCGGTTCGCGGCCTTCTTCGCATCCAATGCAGACTGCCAAACACGTTTCTTTGCTTGAGATTCTGCCAATTCGGCCGAAGGAATCTCCCCGATGGCGTCAATTTGAACTTTGAGCTCCGCGGTCGCTTCTTCCGCTTGATTCTTGTGCTGACTGATCTGTGCAAGGCGGCGTTCCTGCTTGTCGTCGACACCCCCAGAGGACTCCAATTTGCTCTTGAGCAGGTTGATTTCCTTTTTGATATCGGCGTGAGCGGCACGTTGGTCTTTCTTGGTCTTTCGGGTTCGATTCCGGGTCTCGTTCAGCTTGGATTCGGCAGATTGGATGGATTGCTTGAGGGTCGTAATTGGCGAAGATGGCCGGAGAGATTGATGAGGCGGATGAACCGGTGCAGCAGCAGCTTGCTCGGCCGTTGGTGCAGGTTGCGTGATCAAGTTGACAGAGCAGAGGACTCTTTGCTTTGAAATGCTGACAATCTCACAGTGGTAGCTACTGAGAGGCGCCAGGCCAAAGACCTCACCCACATAACGGTCGCTAGAAGTCTCACAATTCTGCATGATCCGTGTGGAACTCCATGCTGCCCCGTTGATGCGGATGAAGAAAGGTTTGGTCTTGTCAATTCCAGCAGTCACGGGCGCGCATTCTTCTCTCTGATCCGCCCTTTCGATTGCAGCAGCTGGCGAGAGTTCTACAGCAAAGTAGATCTCAGTATCGCGAACTTCGCATATCCAGACGCGATCGGTGGTATTATTGGTGACGCTCAAAAATGGAGTTGAAGTGTTGTTGTCCATGGCAGCGGCCTCTCGAGCATCATCGGCCGCATCTCGCTGTTCTATTTCCTTCACAAAGGTGACTTTGGTGCTCGCGATAGCCGCCCATAGCGGCTGCTGGCTTCGAACTTGATTTGCCTGCTTCCTCTTCTTCTTGCTACTTGACTCACGCGGTTTGGTGTCGCGAAGAGCGGGAGACTGTCCGGGTAGACGGCCATCAGTGCTAGTGGCAAAAGATGGCGAGTGTGCGCTGTCAGGAAGCCCAGAGTTGGCTCGTGAGAGCGTCTCCGTGCCTGCGGATGCTTCTGTGTCGGTTTTGATAATTGCTGGTATGTTGTGATCTTTTTCGTTGGCCTTTGCGTTGGCAAGTGTGCGTCTGACGCAGGTAGTGACTCCCTGCGAGACGATGTGTATTCCTAAAATGGTGCGCAAGGCAGTAAATGCCATGCCGCGTTCCAAGGGTGTTGTAGAATGGTATGAATGTGCAACAACTGGTACATCAAAAGGCGTTCCAATGTCCATTTTATGTATTACTGATCTGAGGTAGTCGAGAGCAGTTAGGTGTATTGCACGATACCGGAGCACGTGGACCACACAGACAATGAGGGTGCAGGTAGCTATGCTGTAGGTCGGTCCACCGGTACTAGCGGCCGCACCGCTGAGGGATATCGCAATGACAGCCTGAGAGAGGTCCAGGAATATGGCCTGAGCAGGTTTCCAGAGCGTAATCCACAGGGCCCAGAAGAAGACGTCAACGAATAGAATTGTGGCCAGTGCTGGATAGCCAAAATTCGACGAGTTGAACATTTCCTTGATGTTGGGAAGAGCAGAGATACCGGCACTCGGTGGAACGAAGGTTAACGAAGCGAACAGGGTTTGAATAATCAAGCCCAAGGTCGGCGGAAGACAGAGCAGGAGGATGAGGATCGAGATGGCATCGCGCAGAGGATAGTATGCCAGAATGGTGGAGACGGTGGAGAAGTTGCTGCCACCGTTGGCGGGATTGCTTTTGCCTGGAGGAGAAGCAGCAGCAGCAAGATGAACCTCCAAAGAGGCCATGTCGTGTGTCCCGTCCGCCATGTCGCTGCACGGATCTACGTCGTCCAGCGAAGCGTCTGAAGCAGTCCTGTCCCTTTCGCCTCCCTCCAGTCCACCTGCACTGTCCCTGACAGTGACGGGAGCGGTCGTCCCATCAGCAGGCTTCGGGAACCTGAAGCCTGGATTTGTATTCAAGCCCTTTGAGGGGAGAGCGGGCGGTGACACTGCTGGCACAGTCTTGCCATTTGGGACTCCGTTTAACTGTCCGCTACTGCGCTGTCGTGCCACTCGCTTTCCCGGGGCTATCAGACCGTTCTCGTGGCGCTTGTCGTGCTGGTTCGGTGCGTTCTTCGTCGACTTGGCCTTCGGAGGCATGGAATGCCTGGGGCCAATCAGCACGGATTCCCCTTCTGGCTCGTCACAAGGTGGACGGCGAGCCAGACGGGATTTTGTGGTTCCAAGGAGTGATTGTCGGTAGCAATGGGCGCGATATGCTATGCTGTGGGGAGGAYATGGCCATGTAAGAGTCCTCGAGATCAAAACGACCTGCGGAAGAAGCCGCTAAGGCCTAGTCACCAGAGAATGTGCAAAGGCGAGAAAGGTTAAAAGCGCGACGAAACAAGCGGTTGCTCTACCACGGAACTTCATTTCTGGCCCCTTCTTTTCGCGTTTGAGTTCCTAACTAACCGCCTCGTGGCGAGGACGCTATTCGCCGCATCATATGCTGTTCCCGTACCCCCTCTGAGCCTCACAACAGGCATTCAAACAGTGCCAGTATATCAGCCAAAACTAGGAATAGGCGGATGCTAAGCTCGTAGCCCTGTCGAAATCTGCGGGAAGAAAAGCGCCACCCCGCTCCTGGTCTGGGTAGGATTGCTGGTTGACTTGGCCGTGGGCGTCGATCAGTTTTCGAGGTACACGACACCGCCGATTTCGCTCCACTCTTGCGCAATCCACTCTGCTGTCATGATCGTCTGGTGTGTATGATGCTATTGTAGACGCTCGGTACTGGTGCAAGACAAGCAACGCATTATTGATCCAGCTCAGCAATTTTCACCAAGTCGGAAAGAGTTGAAATCTAGGAAGAGGTCCATCGTAATCAAAACAGCCGGCAAAGACGGGAGAATTTCATTTGGCGTGGGTTTGATGTGTGCCCGACTTGAAAACCAATGCATCTTTCCTTGACAGCAGTAGTCGCCCGCCTGACCGCCTGCTTGACAGCTGCAGACAGCACCAAGACAATTCCGGCCAAGAAAGTGTCAGTCAAGCGCTAAATCGTGCAACCTTTTCAATCCGAAGATTGTGAATGCAGTATCTTAGGTAATTTTTACTTGCTTGCAACTCCCATGTCTTCAACAGCATCTGCACGGTCCCACGACTCCGCCTCCAACTTTCTGACCCTGTCAAGAATGCCAACCACTCTTTCGCTGTTGATACGTTTAGCTTCTTCTTGCAGTCTCCACGTTTCCTGCAACACCTCGAGCATCCAAGGTTGAAGCGGCGTCTTCTTGGCGGTGCGATAGTCGTACAGCACACAATCTTCCACTACTTTTGCCGCGGTCCGTTGATGCAACTCCGATATGATGATCGCGTGCATGTCGAATGTATCTGTTCCCTCGAGAGGTTTTGATGCAAGTCTGTGATAGACAGTAATGTGGTCTGGATATTTCATTGGCTAGAGTCCTATCAGAATCTTCATTTCCTCGCCCAATGCACCAAGACACAMTCACGAATTTGTACTCTGTTGTGATCTTCCTCAGAAGGAGACCTTCTCCTACAGGCAGCCATAGAGACCGCCACTCTTCTGCATGTGCTGGATCGATATAGCGAGCGTACTTGGACGCCCATTCGATACGACCTGTCTCAGCATATCTGTTGTAAATCGTATTGTTCACTGTCCCAGGTCTCAGCCCATTGCCTGTACCGCAATTCATGTCGTATGGCGTACCTTACCATGTCCCATAGAGTCCATGTCGCCCCATGCGACTGGACGTCGAAGCATGCTCAGCCTTTTCTTATCGGTCAAATAGCCCTCGGAACCTGCGAGCAGCTCCCTCCAATCGCGCGATATTTCATCCAATATTGATCCAGCTTCCACAGTCTGTGCTGGTTTCAGACCAAAAGTGATACAGTATCCAATTCGATTCTTGATGTCTGACAGCCATCGTGAACTCGGGGAGACTTTGGCCGTTTGTGGAACATCGGCTGTTGAGTGTAGCTCTCGAGAAGAGCACGCGAATGGTGTTGAAGCTGCAGGGCTTGTAGCATGTGTCGCACGCCGTAGTGCAATAGCTCCCCCTCTTCGCATGGTGCCTGCTCTTTCCTCCTCCTATACCAATTGATAAGACAGCATTATTATCGCGATATTCTGCAGCTCAGGTGTTGTTGGGTATTGAGGACCGGCCGTTGCGAAGTTTGATCAGCTTCCGGAGCTCAAGCTGCAATAAGCTCCAGGGACCAGCTCTATCTCCGGTCCGGGGAGAGTAAGGTACCTGGGCGTTTGCTTCTTCCATCTCATCGCCTTTTGCCTGTTGACATCCTCTCAGCCCCATACCGTCCGCGACCGATTGTTCACAGGTGGTTAACAAAACTTCGAAAAATACCGCTTATCAAGAAAAAAAATGCCCTCTCCAGCCCTGCGACACCGGGTCATTCGCATCTACAAGGGTGCGGCTTTGATACATCCCTGCCTACCTTACAGACGGATGTCATTAACGAATCGCCACAGAACTGCTCTATCTCGGTCGAGAGTATCCTCTTGGATTCGAATACTTCAGACCAAGACTCCATAAAGCTTTCAGCGCCAGAGCCAACCTCCAAGATGATGAACAAATAACGAAAGGTATTGAGCAGGCCGAATACGTCAAGAAAGGTATAACATTCACATCCAGCACATGCTTGGGTATCGAGCGCCAGCTAACAATTACTAGAAATCGAGGCGCTGTAAGTCCTCCTTACCCGTCACTGATGGGTAATCTATATTCCTCCCGCTCTAACGCCTTGCCAAAGATACTACCTCAAGCGGTACCGGGYCCTGAAACAGCGATACGACAAGAATTGAAGCGTGCTAGAAATAGCACGGGAATGATCGATGATCAAATCAATCAGCTCGTTAGTGGCAACCTATGCGTCCACCACGCGCCGAGCTCCAAACATTCGCCACTTAGTCCAGCCTGTGAAGGATCCAGCAATTCGGTCATCATGCCACTACACCAGGTGGTCCACTCATCCGAGGTCTTTCCGCTTACTTCCCTAAGCAGTGGCTCCATGCTTTGAATAAATTGAAGCACAGTTATGAGTGCCGTCTGCCGTAGGGCGGCCTGGTCCGGAGTCAAGGGTTTCTGAGCGACCTTGAGGGGATCCATCGATGAGGTTGACATGGGCGAGTCGTGACCACTCCGAGCAATTTGCAGGCTTGGGGCAGGCGACTCCCGACCGCTGCGTATGCTCTGACTGCTTGGGGTACTACGTCCACTGGTGCTGGACATGCTTCTCTGGTCCTTCCACCCTTCCCATTGACCGCGCTCCTCTTTGAGACCACCAAGAGGTACCGCAACGCGGCGATTACCAAACCCTCCTAGCTTATCGTCCGTCAACATGATCTCGGCAATCCTCACACATGGCACAGGATGTAAATCACGCGCGAAAAGAGATTGCATAATCCATGCGTTGGCTTGTTGCAGGTGTTTGCTTTGCGTGGGCAAGAACGGATGTCCAGGCGGGATTGAGAATGTTGCGGTTTGTTCCGCAATGAATTGTTCTTGTGGCTTCTTCCGAGACGCCACGGGCGTGTTGGGATGTAACGAGCGTATAACATGATCGCCATCCCAGACCTCAAGCACACCACCTGGGCGTATGTAATTGATGATCGCGGCCAGAATATTCTCCGTCTCCAGCGCCAATGGCATGACCAAACTCAGATCCTTGGCCATGATCAAGTCGAAAGAATTTTCCTCAAAGGGCCACGGAACAACACGAATGTCATGCTGTACAAATTTCCAATTGACTCCTTGTTTTCGGAGATCTGGTGCAAGCGGCGCAATGTCCATTCCGACGAACTCGATGTTATCATGACCGAGCGCCGCATAATGATCGTGGCAAGTGGCACTCCAGAAGCCGCTTCCACATCCAATCTCGAGTATCCTCTGTGGAATGTCCTCCGCGAAGACGGGAGAGCAAATCGGCTTTCCAAAAGCCTGCACGGCGAGCAGAGTTCGTAATGTTTGGCGGGTCAATTCGGCCAAGTCCACGGGCAGGGGATATGCCGCATCCCGTAGGTAACGTCGACCATGTCGCAGCTCGAATGGGCCGCTTTGCGTATCGTCTTTTGGCGGTTCCGAGTTGGTAACGGTTTGGCGCAAAGGAATGGGCGCTGAACTCATTGTTGAACTCGCGCGCGAGCTGGCAGCCGAGGAGTAGTGAGGTACATATAGTTCCCTTGCCTCGCCTAGAAACCCATCTCGCCGCAACAAGCCTCTGATTGATTCCCGACGCTTTGCCGTCCTGGTCTTTTGTGGTGCCGAAATGGAACCGTGAGAGGCCGCTCGATCGGGGTCTTCCTGCGAGTGCAATGACGGTTCGCGACTCGAGGCGCGAGCGTCAGGCGATAGACGAGCAGTTTGTGGCTCTTTGGGTAGCAGGTGGGCGTAACCGAATCTTGAAGTGAGTTATTAGCCAAGATCCTCGATCCTCCTCCAATAGATCCATCAGCGAACCCATCCATCTTTGAGATCCAAGGCGTGGGTGCGCGTGGGGGCAGCCCTTCCTTTGTAGCCTTGGGGATGCCAGATTATAGGTATGATCAGGTCACTCAAGGTAACTTTATTATCCAGTTCAACCTTGAGGTAATGGCTAAATCAACAGCTGTAGCGAGAGACATTCATGAAGGAACCAAGAAAAAGCAACGAAATAAAAAATATTAGCAAACGATACGAGGGTTAATCATAATATCTACCAGCACCTTCGCACCCGAATCTGTGACATGGACATTTCGTTCACAAAGAGCCCTGTAGATGTGGCGGTCTTTAAAGCAAGGCGTGAAACCTTTGAAACCAACGGGGTAGGTCATGTTTCGCAGTTGGACGCGCACGACTTCTTCTGCTGTAGAACTTGGCGTGCAGGCGAGATCGGAGAGTCGTTCACTTTATTGATTGGCGCAATGCAGAGAGCGAAAGGCTTGTCCTTGAGTCGCATACGCTTGGCTCCCTGGTTACATGAGTACAGCTGAGAGGTGTATCGAAATTGCGCTCGGACAGGCGAGAGAGTCTACAAAGCACGGTCTTGTTCTGTTGGAAACTTGAAGGTGTGAGTAGGCACATGATGATCATTCTGTTGCGAGTATATAGAAAGCCGGGCTAGATTCAGTCATCTCGCTGGAGTGGTCTTTTGTATGTAAGGTACCTACAGATGGCATGTCCAGTCGCGGTGAAGTGATGATGATCAGATCAAATGCATCGACACCGTGAATGGCGTGTCGCGTGATGACATGCGCAGACGGATGCAGATGTGCCATGTGAAGAGGAAGGAATGTAGAATATGGAAGTGTCCGCGAACGGAAAACAGATTCTGGAGAGAGCTTTGGACTCGCTAGCCAACCAGCCAGCCTTATTTCAAGGTATAGGTACCATCTCGAGTTTAGACTTTCTTCGGGCACTGCCGCCATCGACACCATCAACAATCCACCTGCTGTCAACGTATCAGCAACTCCACGATCCATAGCTGCGAGCACACGACGCCCCCGCGCATATTCCCTCGTCAACGTTCCTCACACGTAGCATCGGCCACGGCCACGATATCGATCCCCCTCGAACCTCGCTCGCGCTTCGGGTCTCATTCCGTCATTGCCCATCTTGCATCCAGCGAGCCGGAACGAATCGAGGACTCCGCACGCGTAACAGCAGCACTCACTTCGCTGAGCTGTACTCCAGCGTAGCTGCACGCGAACCAGCCGGAAGCCCGCCTATTCATTCGTTCATGCAGAGTGGCGCGCCAGTCTCATGTGCCGGAGAAGACGAGGAGTGCGCCAGCCAGAACCCCCTCCTCCCTAAGCACCCGCGTGCCCATTTTTCCACCTCGTCCGCCGCCGCCGCCCCGCCTGGTCCAAGGCGCGTGGGCAGCACTCGCTTCACTCCCGAAACCGCGCTCGCCTGGTGATGGCCGATGGTTTCAACCGCTACAATAGCGGCACGCAGTATTACTACCAGCAAAACAATACCACCTCCGTGCATCAGCGAGATCGACTTCATCACCGCGCCGGCTCTCCCATCACCACCACACGGGGACTGTTCCAATCGCACAACGACACTCCCTCTCCGAACCGCTCCCCGGGCACAAACTCCCCGGCCCACACCTCGTACAGCATGTACAACAACCAAAATCATCGGCAGAACCATGGCCTGCTCAATGGCGGCGCTGGCCACCACAACTTCCAGCCGCAGATGAACCTGAACAAAGCCTTTCAGTCACACGGCCATCAGGCACACCATCTGAGCAACCACCAAGATCACGGCAGCGGGCTGGGCAGCCACGGCAACAACTTCGGCAATCACCAACACACCATCTCAACGAGTACCCTCTCCAATGCCACGCCTCACTTCACGCCCGCGCATCTTCAGAATGGAACGTCCGACAGCTCTAGTGCACTGAGCAAACCTCCGAACAAGCATTGGGCAGAACAACTCCACGAATACGAAAAGTTGAGAAATGCTGATCACAAGGCACACTTTTACGCCCGGACGACGCCTTCTGTGAGCAGGTTCCCAGGAAACTCCCCTTCAACCAACAACCAGCGCACGGATGGAGAAGAGCATGGAGACAGGAGACGCGTCATTGACGAGTCGGATGATATGGGATCGTGGGATGCAATGGACCTCTGCGGGCAAGGGCTCAAAGGACTGGCGCCTGCGCTGTTCAAGCACTACCCAAAGCTGCACAAGATATATCTGAACTGGAACAGGCTGCCCGAAATTCCTCCCCAAATTGGACAAATGCGGTTTCTCACAGTCTTGGACCTCTCAATGAATGAATTGCACGTGCTCCCGCCAGAGATTGGCATGCTCACAAATCTCAAGAAACTCTCGCTCTATGACAATAACCTGGAAGATTTGCCATACGAACTTGGCTCCCTTCATCAGTTGGAGATGCTTGGCATTGAGGGCAATCCCATGCGACCCGACTATAAGGAGCGGCTCGTAGAGCATGGAACTCAGGAGCTGGTCAGATATCTCCGTGAGCAGGCACCTCGTAAGTACCCCAAACCAAGAGATGATCTCCAGCCACTAACACAACATCCAGAACCGGAGCCACCGCTTGATCGGGCGTGGATACCGTTGATTGAGGATTCGGCAGAGGCAGACTCCTTGAGCGTCCTCAGCTGGAACATCCTCTGCGACAGGGCCGCGACAGCTGCCATGTACGGCTACACACCTTCAGAGGCTCTCTCCTGGAACCGCAGAAAGTGCATGATTCTGGATGAAATGCAGGGAAGAGACGCCGACATCATGTGTCTCCAAGAAATGGACATTGAAAACTACAATGAGTTTTTCCGGCCCAATCTGGCTCCAATGGACTATAAGGGAGTCTTCTACCCAAAGTCACGAGCGGCAACCATGGCAGAAAAGGAAGCCAAGGTGGTGGATGGATGTGCCATCTTCTACAAGAACGCAAAGTACATCCTGCTCGACAAACAGGTTGTTGTCTTTAGCCGAGAAGCGATTTCACGACCGGACATGAAAGGCGAGCACGACGTTTACAATCGAGTGATGCCCAAAGATCACGTCGCGGCGATTGCTTTCTTGGAGAATCGACAGACTGGTTCCAGACTGATCGTCTGCAATACTCATCTCACTTGGGAGCCATGGTTCAGTGACATCAAGATTGTACAAAGCGCCATCTTAATGGAGCACCTGACGAAACTGTCCCAGACGTACGTCAAGTGGCCGGCGTGCAAGGACAAGGGTCTTTTCAAGTACGCAAATGAGGATGCCGCCGATGGAGCGGAGGTTTTGAACATTGAGCCCGCGCCGTCCATGAAGTACGAGGAKCCGACGCAAATACCGCTCATCATGTGTGGAGACTACAATTCCACCCACGACTCGGGGGTGTACGAGCTCATCACCCAAGGATCTCTCTCCAACTCGCACAGCGAGCTTGGCAACAACAACTACGGAGATCTCACCCGCCACGGAATGAGCCACCCTTTCAGCCTCAAATCCGCCTACAGTGGGATTGGTGAACTGCCCTTTACCAACTACACCCCAGACTTCCGAAAAGTGATTGATTGGGTCTTTTACTCCACCAACACGATGCAAGTCACCAAGCTTCTGGGAGAAGTGGATCCAGAGTACATGCGACGAGTTCCTGGTTGGCCCAATCACTATTTCCCCAGCGACCATTTGCCATTGATGATGGAATTCGCAATCAAGGAGCGGAAAGAGCGGAAAGCGGCTGTCGAGACGGATTTCGGGCCTTCAAGGCGCGAGACACGGAATTGATGGGTAGATGGAGAGGAGGAGAGATGAGAGATGAGAGATGGAGAAAGGAAGTTCGGGGCGCTTGAATTAAACATGTTGCCCTGTCTGGTTTTGAGAGGCGCAAAGAAACGTAACTTTTTGGCAAGGCGTAATGTTTGTGTGTGATGCTGGGCGTTTCCCCCCCCTCGAGTTTTCAATGTGTACAGAAGAAAGCGGGCCCACAGGCATGCAGGCAGGCAGGCAGGCAGGCAGGCAGGATAGGCAAGGCAAGATGGGAAGGGGAAAGATGGGATTGAACGGATGATTGGGTGGGATTTGAATGGTATGGTATGGTATGGAATGGAATGGAACTGGCGCGAATGGAGTGAAGCGGTGGTGGGAGGAGTCTTTCTCGTTGTCTTTTTGTCTCGGAGAACCAACACAACACGTCACTGTCTCTGTCTGAACTGCTCTCTTTCTCTCTCGAATGGAAGTTTGTGTCATCAGACATGTGTTTTTCCCCTTTTTTTTGAGGGAAGGTTGGTGGTTCTGTACCTACCACTGGATTGTAAAAGTGAGGTGTTTGTTTGCTGTCCGTTTTTGGAGGACAGACAGACAGACAAAAGGAAAGAAAGAGAGAGAGAAGGAGAGGTCTTGGGGAGATGTGTGACTGCTCGTTTTGGAATGGATGGATGGATGGATGGATGGATGGATGGATGGATGGATGGATGTATGGATGGATGTAATCGTAGTGGTGTGGCACTTTTTGTTCCTTTGAGATGGATGAATTTGCTGGGCGCTTTTGGATGAATGAATGAGGGTCTGCGTGTAGGTAGGTGGGTACATAGGTAGGTAGAGTGGGAAGTGTTGGATGAAATGAAAGTCTGTTTTCATTTTTTTTCCATGTGAGTAGTTTGGGTTGTGGGTGTTTTTTTCTTGGTGAGCGGAAAGGGGGAATGGGAGATGTAGAAGCAGCATCGCTGACTAGCCATTTCTTGGTGCGTGTGTGTGTTCGAACGTGCTTGTAGACGTAGATTGTGTTAAGTGTTGAGATATGTGCAGATTTACACTTTACTTTGGTGCTGATTTCATCTCATTCTTTCCTTTCTTTCTTTTCAAAGATGCGAGTCGTGATAATGGCGCAGGATAGACAGTGTTGGTGTGTTTCGTGTTTCGTCCTCATTTCCAATTCACCAATCTGGTATTAAAGTATTGATGTGTCTGCTACTTCCTCGCTTGATCGCTCTTGTGCCTTCAGCGCCTACCACCGGGAGCTGCTTAACCCCTTGTTTCTTTAGAGCTTCGGGGACGGCTTTGGGATCTAATATTCCTGCCTGAGACATTCGTTAGCTATATCAAAGGTTGGTTGTAATAAAGAGGAGACATACCTGCACAAGCACACTCGCCTGATCCCAATAAATATGCTCGCTCTCCAATTTATCCCCCCTCACATGAAAGATTGAAACAATGACAATTTCAATCTTGCGATTCGTAGGCGGTATCCCCGGAAGCAACCAATCAATCTTGACAGAATGCGCCAGCGACACAAACAACTCATCCACAATCCTATCCGTCCCAATCGTCCGACTCAACAATCGAATCTGCGTATTACTATTCGGCGGAATGGGCGTGAACAATTCATCATAAAAAGCCTCGAGATCTTCCGTTCCGACTCCTCCGACCAACGTCGGCGCATGTAATACATGACCATAACTTCTCACTTGCGACATGGTTTGATCCGTTTGCCCGGAATACATATACCTTGCATGATGATCTCTCACGGCTTCAATATCATTTTCCACTCGGAATCCTTTTCTCACACATGCGATACTGCGCGTGAAAGCTATCCCATCCGCTATGGCATCATATTCTTCCAAATCATGCTCTGCGAAACCAGGTGCCACTCCGGTGTAGGTGTATGCTTTGAAGGCTAATTTCAGACATTCTCCATAGCCGATTCCTGGGTCGATGCGTTTGCGGACGAGTTTGCGTTTGCCTTGGATTCCGAGGACTTCGGTTTGTTTGTGGACGGAGATTTCGTTGCCGGCGAGGTGTACGAGGACTTGGATGCTAAAGGGGAATTTTGTCGTTACTGAGGGGATGGCGGTCGGGTAGTAGGCTACTATTGCTACTAATTTTGGGTTGGTGGGTTTTTGATGGTGCTCGAGGACTAATGAGGCGGCTTCTCCGTAGCMTGTTGGGGAGGGAGATTGTCAGAATTGGTGTGAGGTTGTGGTGGTGAAAGGGGATGGGATGGGGATGGGATGGGATGGATGTACCTACAATGGCGTACTGCTCTGATACTCCAAAGTTGTCGCCGACTTTGTGCAGACGCTGGACAAAATCGTTGCCTCCTTGTTCAAAGGGTACGTATTGGACGTGAAAGCCTTCATCTTCCCATTGTTGCTCAGTCTCCTCGTCGAAATCGTCCGTCTCCGCGGCGAGGATGACGTGAGCGATTTTGGATTTATTCAACACATTGAAGAAGCTGCGGTCTTGACTGTTGAACCAGGGCGTATTGAATGCAGACATGTTATAAAGTTTTGATAAGCCGCATAGGGGAGAAGAAGCAGGAGAAGAGAAAGGATGGAGAGAGTGTGGGACCGAGCGTCAACGACTGGCAATGCGAAACCCATCTTTTCCCTCGACATGCACGATAGTGGAAACCGGTTTTTATTACAGACAGCACAAAACTGTGGTTCGTGGTGTCCACCTTTTTATGCGTGTCGGCGGGGCGAGTGAATGATCCCTGAAGAATGATCCTGTGATCCCTGCTGTATACCGACGCGGCCTCCTCGCGCTCCGGACCTACATTTCGGGCCGTAAGCACCGGTACACGACCGATGGGGGAGAAAGCCTCTGTCATCTGGTAACGTGTGGATAGAGTATGTAGTGAGTCGTAGAGGTCATTAAGAAAAAGTCGGTGGATGTTGTGACGTTATGCTTCGCATGTGAGTAATATAGAGTTTGATGCCGTGACAAACTGTAAGGCTGCACGCTACCTCAAACACCACGGTGTTGCTTCCAGCCTCGTACTAGTCGCCAATGGCAAGATGATGCTCTCCTAATCCTTGATCATGGAAAGAAATTATAGCCGCGAAGATTCACGCGAGTAGAGTAAGAAGCAATGTTAAGTGGCACGGAAGTTCAGGCGCAACACAATCAGTCCGGCCGGACAACCATACCGACCTGGTGCTGAGATTATCGCCTGCTTTGGTCGTCAAGTACGGATCTGGCGTAACAATCGATGAAACCATTGTTGGCGAGATCATGAGTGCTCTGGCGTACATACACATCTTCATCCGTGCGATACCTGGCCCACTCGATGGTAGTCCCGCACGAGGCCTGCTGTGGTCGGAGTACGAATATGGTTGATGAGGAGATAAGACTGAGAGGGACGTCATCTGCTCATAAGTCCGAATGTAAAGTCTAAGGAAGAGGAGGATAAGGAGGAGGAGGAGGAAGAGGAGGAGGTAGAGGTAAGGTAGGTACAAGATATTTGCGTCTGCTTGCGCGTGACGTAATCAGCAGGCGCGTTCATCAAACGCGCCACTTCCATTCGAATTGCAAGCCCTCCATCTATCAATCCATCCATCCACAACTCTGCCTTTGGATGGGACCCCCACAATGACGACCGCATTCCAGCGCCTCAACGAGCGCAAGCAACGTCCCAACAGCCGCATAGACTTCATCAAAGCCATCGACAACCATCCCCACGGCGAAGACTTTCTCAACCGCATCGCGGCGCAATGCTTTCCCGTCATGAACAAAGCCGGAATCAACGTACGATCTYTCGAAGAATACGAACCCAATCCCGAATTTCTCGGACGCAACTTCAACGGAGGCGAGGTCATTCAGCTGGTATTGAAGGACAAGCAGGGTAGATGGCTCGGTTTGAATTTCGTGCAAATGGTCATGATGCATGAACTGGCACATTGCAAGCAAATGAATCACAGTCGTGCTTTCTGGGCGGTGCGGAATGACTACGCCAAGCAGATGGAGGAGATTTGGAAGTCGGGTTACGTGGGAGAGGGGATGCATGGACGGGGCAGAGATTTGGAGAATGGGAGCATTGTTCACAATCGTCCGCCGGATATGACTCAAGTTCCCGGGCATCTCTGTGGCGGTACCTTTCAGAAGAGAGGTCGCAAGAGAAAGGCTGGACGTCAAGGAGATCAGCCTGTGAAAGTCACTTATGCCGAGCGTCAGCAACGCCGGATTGAGAAGAAATTTGGCAAGCATGGTGAAGGCGCGTCTGTTGGTGAAGATGACTTGCTGCGAGGTGCTCTGGAAACTATGAATGGTGGGAAGAGGAGGCAGGGCAAGCCAAAGGTTGCCAAAAGCAAGCGTGGAAGAGATCTCTGCGCGAATGCCGCACTCGCGAGGTTTGCACAGGCGAAGACTAAGCCCAAGGAGGAGCCGAAGGAAGAGGAACAGACATTGAAGGTTGAGGAGAGTGAGACGGACTCAGAATGGGAGGACGATTTCGTTCAAGTTTGTGGAGATGAGGATCGCGATGATGCTGAAGCTGGCAACGAAATGGATGCCCTGAGGATGCTCTCTGCCGGAAAGAACAAACATCCAACCCTCCGAGAAGATGCAGAATTGGACGGTTCGGAGACGGAAAGCGAAGCAGAGGATGAAGATGAACGTGAAGGGAATGCTGCAGCCCAATCCACCTTGACTGTCGAAGAGACTGAAATGCTCCGGGAGCTCGATCGCACTAAGACCGCCTCCGAGTCGGAAGAGGCTTCTTCTTCAGCAGCGATAGATCTCACATTGATCCCGGATTCCGCCACGAAATGTCCAATCTGCTCGCTCGAAAACGAAACCAATGCCACACTCTGCATAGCCTGTTCGCATGTCCTGCGGATCGAGCTTGTGCGAGATCATTGGCGTTGCAAGAGTGAGACTTGCAAAGGCAGCAAGTATATCAATCCTGGAGACTTTGGTCGCTGTGGACTGTGCAATTCTCCCAAGCCTCAGCAAGTCTCGAGGCTACCTTCAGCGGGTCAAGGACGTGCTGTTGGACTTACCCGGCCGGAAGTGCTGAGATGGGATTGAGGTGATGTGAAAAAGAACATCATGACGAGAAAGTGAGCACCTCTTCACAATGATGATAGTGAACAATGACGACCCATGATTAGATGAAAGATGCGAGCGTGTACAGGAACAGCATGACCGTGGATAAACACACGATAATAATAATGGAAGCATTTCAATGAAAAGTCACCCGTATCATCATGCAATTGATAAGAATGCGATTGGCATGTGAAAGAGACCGGGGTGATTGGCAAAAATCYCAACCTCGGCACATTTCGTTATCGCATTCCGAGGTCAGCCCTGCGAAAGAGAGATGCCTAAAGTAAACGAAAAGACACCTATCCCATACACACGGCATGCTCCGTGCGACATATCAATCACTCCAACACGACTGGTTGCAGGATGCGAGCAAAGAATGCCAAAAGGTACAGAAAATGGGTGCCTGGAACGCCCAAGACTGGCCTATCCCCTTTGAGCGGAGAAGGCGAAGGGCGGGGTTGATGTCATTTCTTGGGGGAGCCAGGATGGGTAGGGATCTGCGAGAGAGGAGGGAGATTTTTGGTTTCTTTGACGACGACTGTTTCTAGATGATGATGATGATGATGGGCTTGGGAGAGTATATATGAAAGAGAGGGGATATCCGCTTTGTTTCTAATCCATCTTCACCAACTTGGATACGATTATTGACGACGACGACCATCATGGCTGCGCTTCCTACTCCTTTGCTTTTGTTGCTGGCTACCGTCATCGAGTCCGCGGCTACGGTGGCTCTCATCCCGCAATATCTACCTGAACACCCGCTTCTTTGGGTGTTTGTACGTGCGATTGGGTTGAATGTCGCGCTGTATGCTTTTTACAGAATCACAATCTACCCGCGTTTGTTGTCACCATTGAGGCATTTGCCCGGTCCTTCGGTGAGTACATCATATCAATGAATAGGTGGGAAGATGATGTCGCTGACCAAGATATCCATCTCCAGGGCGGCAAGATCCTCCTCGGTCATGGACTCACAACCTTTGAACGACCTTCAGGAACCAGTTCGCTCAAATGGATGAAGGAGATTCCCAACGATGGTCTTTTACACTTTCGCGGCTTCTTCAACTCCCCCCGACTCATCATCACCAATCCGAAGATCTTGGGAGAACTTCTCGTCACAAAAGCGTATGACTTTGAAAAGCCGAAGCCGGCGAGAGATTTCTTGCGAAAGATTATTGGAGATGGTTTGATCATTGTCGAGGGCGACGATCACAAATTCCTACGCAAGAATATGATGCCTGTCTTCAGCTATCGACACATCAAAAACCTGTATCCCATCTTCTGGCAAAAGTCGGTTCAATTGTTGGACGGCATGCAGCAAGAAATTGCCGAGAAGGAGCAAGAAGCTGGAGAGGGCAAGGCGGTGGTGGAAGTCAATCACTGGGCAACGACCGTCACCATGGACATTATCGGTCTGGCAGCCATGGGCAAAGACTTTGCAAGCATGAAGAACAGCGACGACCCCCTCGTGCAAGTCTACGAAGAACTCCTCGAACCGACGTTTGAAAAGCAACTCTTCTTCCTCCTCAACATGCTCTTCCCCCAGAAACTCATCGGCAGTCTTCCCTGGAAAGTCAACGAGCGACAAAAAGTCATCCTCGACACCCTCAACAAAGTCACCTCGGGTCTCGTACAAGATAAGAAACAATCCATCAAAACGGAATCCGACTCCCACAAAGACATCCTCTCCAACTGCCTCAAATCCGAAACCTTTTCCGACCCGCAACTCGTCGATCAACTCCTCACTTTCCTCGCCGCAGGCCACGAAACCACCTCTTCAGCGCTGACATGGACCACCTACCTTCTCGCCATCCACCCCGAAATTCAAAAATCCCTCCGCGCCGAAATCCGCCAAGCAATCCCCTCCCCAACATCTCCATCCTCCGAAGAAGGTGCAGACCCAACCTTCGACCTAGCAGCAACCCTCGAATCCCTCCCCCTCCTCAACGCAGTCTGCAACGAAGCCCTACGCCTCTACCCCACAGTCCCCCTAACAATCCGCGAAAGCGTCAACCCCACCACCCTCGGAACCCAATCAATCCCCATCGGAACACAAATCATCCTCCCCATCCACGCCATGAACCGTCTCCCAGCCTTCTGGGGCCCAGATTCCGAACTCTTCACTCCCGAACGCTGGATCGACACGGATGAGAAGACAGGGGAGCGAAGACCGAATAATTCGGGGGGAGCGCCTAGTAATTATGTTAATTTGACTTTTTTGCATGGGCCTAGGAGTTGTATTGGACAGGGTTTTGCCAAGGCGGAATTGAGATGTTTGGTTGCTGCTGTTGTGGGGAGGTTTGTGATGGAAATGGCTGATCCGCATGAGGTGGTTGTTGCTAGTGGGGTCATTACTACTAAGCCGAAGAATGGCATGAGGTTGAGGATGAAGGGTGTTGGGGGGTGGTGATGTTGATGTTGAAGGAAGGATGTGATTAGAAGGAAGAGAGAGTGTATATATTTCTCCCCTGTCTACTCATATTCTATACCAGGACTCTTGTTGTATATATATATATATATATGTGAGTGAGTGAGTGAGTGAGTGAGCGAGTGAGCGAGTGTGTCTGTGTGTGTATGTGTCTGTACCACGCGATAGATGTTCATTTCCAAGAGGAAATCATTCATAGACTCTTCCCGCATATTATCATATTGTATGGATCTATGTATACCCTTACCCCCAGTAGAATGGCCGGCCGCCTAAGTGTATTATTTATTTATCTAAGCACAGGATGATTTATTATCTATACAATTTACAATCCCTATGAAATCCAACAAAACTACTTTTAGTAATCTACTCGATAACTAGACGACTAGCTAGGTAGGTCGAAATATCCAAAGATAAAGAGGGTAGGAACCTAGGTATAATATTCATCGGTCGGGAGGGGGAGAAAAAAGAGAAAAGAACACTGAAGCGGTAGGAGCTAGAATCGTGGGGGGGGGGATTTTTAATATGTGCACACCATTATGATATTCCGTGCTGTTCTTAAGAAGGGAACAAACAAGATGCCCCCCGCTCTCCCCTCTCCCCTATCTCCTCTCTCCTCTCTCTCCTTCTCCTCCCTCCCTCCTCCCTCCTCCCTCCCTCCTCCCTCCTCCCTCCCCCAACTATCAATCCATGAATCAAATCAAATCACATAACCCCACACCCCTTCCCCAACCTCCAATAAGCCTCCAAATACCCCTCATCCTCTCCATCCTTTCCATCCTCTCCATTAACCCCCTCTCCATTGTTACCTCCCAACTTCCTCACAACCCCTTTAACTCGAATCCTCTGCTCCCCAACACCATGCCACCACCTCAAAATCCTTCTTCCATCCCCTTCATTTCTAATCTCAAATTTCCCTCCACTGATTTCTACCTCCACTTTCCCTTCAACTCCTGCTCCATGATTATCATCCCCRGCACCTCCAGAAGTAGGAGCAGGAAAATGTACACTAGGTAAAAAGATTTCCGTGGGAAAGTCCACGTCCGTAGTAGCCTCTTTAGCATCGACTTCCAATTCAAACACACATTTCTTCAAATCAAATCCATACTTGACAATCCTGCCATGTACAGCGCGGGGGACGGGACGGATATAAGCTTCCGCGGCTCGATAGCCCATTTTCCTTCCCCCTTTATCCCCAGAAGAAGAGGAAGTGCTCATGCCATCCACACTCAATGTTTTGCCTAGACTTCCCGGCGTCACAACCCCACCATCACCATCCTCTTCCATCTTTACCTCCAAATCATCCTTGGAGAAAATAGACAGGTCCTCTCCATTCCATTGATCGCCCCACTCGTGACTATTATCCGCCGTGTACACCCACCATGTACATCCTTGCGCACCACTCCCCTCGACGGCGTAGAAATTCGCATCCACGGCGCTGGTCTGACTGCTGTAATTTCCAGTCGAGTAGGCTTGGGAGTCATCCATGTCATAAGGAATACCGATTTCGGTGTATAAACTGGGATGCACGCCCATATTCTCCGTTCCTTCGCCCACCAATCGCGTCAATTGATCTTTGAAGCAGTTGCGGATGGAGGATTCGCCTAATTTGATGGCAAATGCAGGGGAGGAGTAGCGGCCGCGTAAGACGCCGAGGACGTCGATGTTCCAGATTTTGTTCCATTTCTTGGTGATGAGGGTGATGCCGTCGTAGAAGTGAGAGGCGAAGATGAGGTTGGGATCATCTCCTTCTGGAGTGCCTTTGATGAAGGGGGGGATTTCAAACGGTTGGGGTTGGAKGAGGAGGAAGGATTGGGGCCAGATGGAGCGGATGGATTGGGAGTAGCGTTTGAAGTAGTGGATGAAGTTTTCGTCGGTCCAAATCTTGTGGGAGAGGGGGCGTTTCGTTTGGGGGTGGGTGAGGAAGTATTGTGGTTGGAGGAGGGTGTCGTTGGAGGGATCCCAGACTCCGTGTTGGGCCCAGATACATTGGCCGAGTTTCCAGGCCGGGTCGCGTTTCCAGCCATAGGTGGAATCATCCCAGGTGGTGGGGTCCAACCAGGCGGAAACACCCTTGGGATCGATGAGTTGCATGCCACTCTTGTAGGGACCAAAGGAGCCAAAATCCCACGTCTCGACCTCGACGGCCCTCCCCATTCCTGTGAGCATGGACTGCCATGCGGTAGGGGTGGTGGTCTTTCGCAAGTTCTGCTCCTTGGGGATCTTACTCAGATCGGGATGTGCAAAGTAGCCTTTGTTCGGCTCATTCACACTCTCCCATCCAATCACACATTCTCCCTCGAGATCCCCCGCTTCGTGGATCCTCCTGGCGAGATGTGCACACGCATCGACGAAGTGCTTTTGGAGGTAATCTTGAATGTTGACGCCATCAATGACACATTTCGGGGCGAAGTCCCTCCCGGCGAAGAAGAGTGTGAAGATGGTCTGCACGGCCAATCGATAGTAATTAGTAGCCCAGACCATTTTGGGGTACTCGGCGGGGTTGGACCACGTATTCTGCACCAGACTGGCCTCATTGGCGGTGAAGTTTTTCGGATCCAGGCCACAGGCATAGATGGACCACATGGGAGCTCCACTACCTCCCGTGAAGCGACTCCAGACATCTTGATGCGGATCCATGAAGACGTAGAAGCCATATTCCTTGGCGACGCGCAGGGTGGAGATGGTATGTTGGATGTATTCCTCGTCGTACTTTTGCGGGCCGGCATGTTCGAGAGCCTCCCAGGTGAAGATGTAGCGGAGGGTGTTGAAGCCCCAAGATCTCAAGCGAGCAAAGTGGGTGTGTGCTTCGGAGAGGGCAAAGGGACGGGCGGTGAATTGCACCTCATCGCCGGAGAAGAAGTGGGTGGCTTCGTGGGAGGGGACGTTGGGGGTTGAGGGCAGTTTGGAGTCGCCGGAGACGTTGATGCCGTGGAGGATGACTTGGCGGTTGGAGGAGTCGAGGAAGGTGTCGCCGGAGATGCGCAGGCGGTGGGACGGCATCGTGGGGGGAATGAGGTGGAGGTGGAGGAGGTTGCCTTATGCCATGGATTGACGCTGTGGATGGCGGGGAGACGGACGAGAAGGCGAGAGCAGGATCAAGCGGGAAGAGAAGGTCTTCCTGATGGTATGGATGGAGTGGATGCTAACTACTGTAGCTATCCTGTGGTATCAATAACGTGTACGATATGCTCGTCCATCATTCATTTTTCCAACCCGCTTCCATGTTTCAAGCTTGCTTTGCTTGGTGGAGAGGGCACCAGATCTCATCACGTCACCAAACGTTCATGGTTTCACCCTTTGCCCACGCCATCCATCWCCACATCCGCGTCGATCCCTGCGCACCAATGAATGTGTTGAATAATGTTGATTGATGTCACATGGTAGAAGGCCAGCCAGCTCATGAAAATTTGGAGCCCATAATAGATTGATGTGAGTGTGAGGGAACATTTATAATCCCCTCCTGTAAGACCCAATAAATATTTGATTGGTGAGGGAAGGAAGGTGTTGATTCCATGGATTCCATCACCTCACATCCTTGTTCGTCGCTCGGCTCGATCCGAAGACCTCGTGGCTCGCTAGGGTCGACCCTTGCATCTCGCACGGCTTTGGCCACCTTTCATCACAGCACAAGACAAACACAGGACAGCATAACACTGTGCAGCTTTCTCCACCACCACCACCACCACTTCCTCCCTCTTCCACCTCGTCACGATGATCCTCCGACCGCTCGCCATCGGAGCGTTGTGCTTCAGTGTCGCCAACGCCCTCGCCCCCGCCGATATCCCCTCGGACACTCCCGTCTCGCAGCTGATTGAATCGGCCAACGCCCACCTGTCCCAAGGAAAAGCCCACGATGCTCTGACCTACTTTGATGTGGCTATCGCCAAGGATCCCTCCAACTACCTGACCATTTTCAAACGAGGAGCAACATATCTCTCCCTCGGCAAGAATGCCCAAGCCAATCGCGATTTCGATCAGGTGTTGGTGTTGAAGCCCGGCTTTGAAGGAGCTCTGACTCAACGAGCGCGCATCAAGGGACGGAATGCCGACTGGGAGGGCGCCAAGAAGGATTACCTCGCCGCCAACAAGAAGGAGTCGCAAGAATGGGCCAATTTGGAGGAATCCCAAGCTGCCGCCGATTTATCCGCCGATGCAGAGTCTCGAGGGGATTGGGAGACGTGTGTGATGCAGGCCGGTACTGCCATTCTCGTCGCCAACACCGCCTTGGAACTGCGTCAACGTCGGGCGAGGTGTCGATTCGAAAAAGGCGAGATCCCCGAAGGTCTGGCCGATTTACAACACGTCCTCCAAATCAACCCTTCCCTCACCGATCCCTCCTTGAAGATTGCCGCCATGACCTTCTTCTCTCTTGCCGAACCGGAAAAGGGCATTACGGCCATTAGCAAGTGTCTCCACAACGATCCCGACAACAAAGCCTGCGCCAAACTGCGCAAGACGTTGAAATCCATTGATAGAACGTTGAAGAAACACTCGGCCGCCATGTCGAAACGCCAATACGCCACAGCCGTCAAACTTCTCATCCATCAATCCGACGACGAACCAGGTCTTCTGGCAGAAATCTCCCAGGAGAGTGCCGCTCTTCGCTCCCAAGGACACATCACCCCACATGCCCCCTCCGGTCTCTACGCCAACCTCGTGGAGGCGGCCTGCTCCTCCTACACTGAGATGAACAACCTCAAGAAATCCCCTCAATACTGCGACGAAGCTCTCCTCTACAACCCCACCTCCCTCCCCGGCCTCCTCAACAAAGCTCAACGTCAACTCGACGCCGACGAATACGAAGCCTGCATCTCCACCCTCTCCACCGCCAAGGAAGCCCACGGCAACCAAAACCCCAAAATCAACGACCTCCTCCAAAAAGCCCACGTCGCCCTGAAGCGCAGCAAAACAAAGGACTACTACAAAGTCCTCGGCCTCCCCCGCGATGCCGACGAGCGCGACATCAAACGCGCCTGGCGCAAACTCACCATCATCAATCATCCGGATAAAGCGGCCAAACAGGGCATCTCACAAGAGGAGGCGCAGAAGAAGATGGCGGCCATTAATGAGGCCTATGAAGTGTTGGGAGATGCGGAATTGAAGGAACGCTATGATCGGGGTGATGACCCGATGGATCCCCAGGGTCGAGGTGCCGGGAGTGCGCAGCATGGGAGTCCGTTTGGGTTTGGACAGGGGGGACAGCCGATTTTCTTTCAGCAGRGGGGTGGTGGGGGGGGACAGCAATTTAAATTCAGCGGGGGATTTCCTGGAGGTGGATTTCCTTTTTGAGAGTCATGATGGAATGGATGGATGGCGTTTATGGGAGATGGTGTTATTTCAGCGTGCATTGTATTGTCTTGTATGGTATGAGAGTGCGTTCTTCTTCTTTCATCAATCGTATGTCTGTTCGCTCCTATATGCCTTTTACACTTTTGTTGTAATACTTCTTTTTTCTGGATGGGATGWGTCGAGGTTGAGAGAGGTGTGGAATGGGATGGGATAGTATGGGGAGCGGGATTGAATGGATTGAATGGATTGAATGGATTGAATGGATTGAATGGATTGAATGGATTGAATGGATTGAATGGATTGGATGAATTGGATGGATTGGATGGATCGGAGTCGAGACTTTGATATTGGGCKGTGTTTCCAAATCAAATAATGTTTTCTTTAAATGAGAGGGATGCTACCTATGGGAATTACACGAGGGGAATACTTCTCTCGATACCTATGTTAATATAGCTCGCCGTCTGAGGGAAGTTTCTCGTCTTTCATACCGCTAGCTATGCTTCTCCACTAACTTAGGTACCTCGTGGAAAGGATTTTAAGGTCGCTACTGTAACAATTATACTTTGATGTTCAATATCCATACCTATCACCTCTCGCGCTTTGACAGTTAATATGCATCCTAATCTGATCTCTTGATTCCGAATTCACATGACATATTTGAATATGCATACCAATCTGATCTCTTGATTCCCCCACGACATTCTCTTACCTATCCCTTAATGATTATTCGCTGCACCTAGGAAGAGACGAAATAGGTCGAATCACGAGCGCCTTGATAGTTTTCCGGATAATACTTCTTCACTCCATGAAACCACCTTCTTCATCCTTCCTTCTCCCAAAGATTGCCCGACCGACGCAAGCCCGACCACAGATTCTTACGCAATCGGCTGGGATTTCCCTCTTTTTCTTCATCCCTGCTCCCTGTCTAGTGTCGGAGGAGAGAGACGAAAGAGAGAATAGATAAGATTGATCTTTTGATCTGATTTGATTTGATTCTTTTTATCTCTCTCTCTCTCTCCGTCATCATTACCATTACTATCAACATCACCACTACCACCACTACCACCACCAAAATATCAAACATCAAACATCAAATCACACAAAGAGTACAAACGTCGTCGAAAGAAGGAAAGGAAGAAAGCATGGCCTTTCCATCCAACACAAAGTAGGTAAATAAACTTCCTTCCCATCCCCCGCTAAGCCCCTCCCCTCCTCTCTCTCTCTCTCTCTTCTTGCAACTAGGTAAAAAGCATCAAAGTTCAGCAAGAAAGAAACATCAAACAARAAAAACCTTCCTAGCTCTCGAGAATCCACATGACCGGTCTATCAAAAATTCAAAAGTCTAAAAAGAAACCCAACAAACTTACCACCAACACCAAAAAAACTAACCGTTGATTTTCCCAACCCTATTAGACGTACAGCAAAACTCAACTCAAACTTCACCATTCCCCTCCTCGGTTTCTCCGTTAGCACGACGCAGCGACAGCAACAAGAAGAATCCGATTCCCCTTCCTCCCCATCCGAAACAACAAAAAACCTCCACGATACAATAAAAACAGCCCTAGAGATTGGATACCGCCATTTCTCCTTCTCCTTCTCCAACTCCAACTCCTCCTTCTCCGATGATGATGATGATCCATCCAAGACCATCGGCTCAGCAATCCTCTCAACCGCCACCCCCCGCGAAGAAATCTTTCTCTCGGCAAAATTACGACTGGAAAATGGTTCCAGTTCTTTGGGGAATGATGATGATGTGCAAGGGATTGTGGAGAAGTGGGTACGGGCAGCGGGAGTGGGGTATTTGGATGCAGTTTTGATCGAGGGGGGTTCTATGCATGGTTATGATGAGGAGGAGGAAGAAGAAGAAGAAGAAGAGGGAGATGGATGGGATGTCATAAGCGCGTGGATGGAAATGCAGAAATTACTCCTCGTCGAGGGGGAGCAGGGGAAGAGGAGGGAAGATTCTCTTGTGAGGAGTATTGGAGTCGTGGATTTTTCTAAAAGGCGGCTTGAGAGGATGTTGGGGGATGAGAGATGTTTTGTGAGTCTTTTCCCACGTTTCCTTCTTTCACCAACCCACAGAACAGGAAAAGAACCTGCCCTTCCCTTCGCCTTTCCGCTCACGATAGACATCTTATAAACCAACTTCTCAAGACTAACAAAGAAACGTGACTAGATCACCCCCTCCATTAACCAAATCTCCTTTCCTCCCTCCCTACCATCGAATTGGAAGAAACATGTGGCATTCAATACCTCACAAGGAWTCCACACTCGAGCTTCTTTCTCTTCCGCGGCAGCGTCATATACCTCCTCCCCCTTTCTAGCCAATCTCGCGAAAAGAAAGGGGAAAAGTGTCGAGCAGATTTTGGTTCGGTGGGCTTTACATCGTGGTTGGTCGTCGACAACGACTGTGATTTGTGGAGATCTTGGAGGGAAGGGGATGGTAGAGGGGATGATGGAAGAAGGGTTTAAGGGGATGGAAGGGTGGGGGTTAACTGTTGAGGAAGTTGTGGGTATTGAGGGTGTAGTTTTCTGAAAGGTCCCTACCTTGGAGATTCCTTGCATACCTACCTACTCTTGAATAGCTGGATGGCTGGTTTTGGTATCGAGAAGATTGTTGGTTGTATAGGTTACCTTTCCCTTACCTTTATGGGAATTTTTATAGAGGGGGAGAGAGATGAGATAGAGAGCATCATTTCCGTTTCCATTTCCATTTCCAATTACTTTTCTTTTTTTTCGGAATTCCTTTCTATGAAGTATACCTGCTTTTGATTTTATAAACGTGTATAACTCCACGCGCGCGGGGTGGGGTTTCTCTAAGTAATAAGACTTGCAAGTCATTGTTAGGAAGAGGTGAGTTTTCTTCGAAAGTCTAGAAAAGTATCTGTCGAATCGGGTGTTTAATTAATTGATGGATTTTTATTTATTACTCTTCATTCACTCAAGAGACGATTTTAGGCCGGATAAAGATACTTTTCCAACACTCAGCACGTCCGACATGTCTGAATATCACATAGCGGTGTTGCCTATGCTACACGCTTCTCGACTGGACAAGAATTTTCAAGTCTCGCGCGCACCTGATGAAAGATTCTTTCAGCGTATATGGTCGTTATATTCATCTACTTCGTAAGCGTGCATGCATCCCGACTCCTTCACTTGTAATTTTTCGTCCCTCCCCTCCTCAATCAAAACCCCGCCTCCCCTGTTCCCCAACACCAGCGTTAAAAATATTCCCTTCCTTTCCCATCCTCTCCCTCATCCAGCAAGAGAGAAGAAACAGCATAAAAGACAAAAAAATACCATCACTCCTCCCAATACAACAACGAGCACCTCTCAGGACTCGAATTCCTCCACGAAAATCTCTTAGCAGGCAACATAGCCTCTCTTTCCTCCTGATCTTCCTCATCCTCAACATCACCATCTCCCAGATCTCCCTCCTCCTCGTCCGTGGCATTCTCCGAGGAAGAATGATACCCCTCATCATCAACCATACCCATCATCATCATCGTCATCCCCTCGGAACCTTTCGCCCAATCTAAACTCTGCCTTCTCCAATTACAATCAAATCTCCCCTCACTCCTCGTCATGAAATCTCCAATTTTAGGCGATGATGATGATGATGATGATGATGTAGAAGTAGCAATAGCATCAAGAGGAAAATACCCCAACGGAATTTCCCCCCGCCTACTAGTCTCAAACATCGCGACAGCCGGACTTTTCGGCGTGTTGGAAGTAGAAGCGGCAGCACTTCCTGGGATAATTTCCTCGGCATCATCATCAAAGCCATCGTCGAAGAAGGAATATAATTCCTCTCGCGTGGAGGCTTTGGGGAGGGAGGTGGCTTCTAATAACGCGGAGAGTTCTTCTGAGAGTTCGTCTGCTGCTGTGGAGATGTTGTTGCTCATGTTTCTGATTGTGAGGATGGTTGTTAGTAGCTGTTCTCTCCATGAAACGGGCGGAGACCCTGGGTTTTTTTAGACTAACTGGAGTGTAGAAGCGAGTCGTCTGCCGAAATTACTCGAGAGAGAAGATCGAGAGGTTTTGTTGTTGTTGTTGGTGGCGGTGTTGGTGGTGGTGGTGTTGCCTTCGTGGTGTAAACTGATGAGGATCTGGGGGATTGGTAGGGAGAACATGATCGATTCGTGTCTGTCTGTCTTGTCTGTCTGTTTGAAGAATCCCGAAAGAAGAGAAGAAAAAGCAATGCAGGATTGATATCCTGATTGTACAAGAAATGTTGGAATGTGTGTTTATGTTTCTGATGTTCAAGCTTGCGTGTCGTAATCCTCGTTGAGTCACAGATTCATAAGGGTCTTGTCTTGTCTGTCCAGGTTGTCTTGTCTTTGCAGGGCTTTCCGTGTTTCAGAAAAAAAACCTAACAGCCAAAGCTCTCGTCCCACGTCTTATATATGAACAATCGTGAGTAGTCCTCCCCCCAAAAAGAAATCCAAGGGGAATCCCTGGTCAAAGAGGGGGGATACGTTTTAAAAAAACGGGCACAGCCCAGCCCCCAGCCTCCCCGTCATGCACGAGCCATTCGAATCCAAGGATTCACTCAACGTCTTTGCCAAGCCTGCCTTTGAATTCCCTGTTTTCTCTCCTCGCCAACAAATTTATGGAATTGGATAACGGGTCTGTTTGTTTCAGTTTACAGCTGCTTGAATCTTTCAAATCAATCAAATGTTTCGCCGTTTTTTTTTTTTCTTTCGAGGGGAGGGTAACTTTTTGGTAGCTGGCTGAAACTTGGCTGGTTGGGGGAGTGGAAACCGGTTCTTAGGCAGTCGGTCGTGGCTTACATCTTGTGAAATCGTAAATCCATCCAAATCCATCCTGCCATCCATTCACTCATTCATTCTCATTCATTCTCATTCATTCTCATCTATTCATCAATCCATTTCTCCATCCATTTCTTCATCCACCACCCATCAGCGTCAATTTGAAACTTTGAGATTCTACGTAGTACTCGGTTAGGTATCTTTTTTTTACATGTCGATGGGTTTGATGGCAATAAGGACAAGTCAAGTGAAAATGTGGCGATCAATGGAAATCTAGTGATTCATTCTTCACTCACCAGAAGATCAAACTCCAGTCGCTCCTCTTGCCCCTCATCATTATCGTCGTCCTCGTTATCATCGTCTTGATGATCMCTAGTACTTCTTCGTCGTTAAATGGCCGGCACCGAACCTCTCTGCTGTCTGTTCGCCATGCACCCGCGATTCTACAGGCGTGCTTCGATTAGACTCTGGGCCTGCCAAGAATTACGCTGCTTTAAGGAGATGATCGAGTGCGTCAAAGCCCCTCGAGACGAGAATCGGCTCGCGTGAACTCGGCGGCTGCCCGTCCGTCATCGTTGTAACTAGTCGTATCCTAGAGGTATTGATCGAATTCTTTACTGGCCTTCTCTACGGATAGCAGAGTCGCAACCGTGAGCTAGGTCTTGTGGTCCTGCGGGGTTGAAAGCGACGAGACCTGCTGCGGTCGTGACAGCGTTATGGATGTGTTGGTCGTCCCTTGTCTTGTTGTCTTGCTTCTTCGGCTTGACTTGACACAGGATTCGTCGACCTACTTGATAATTTTGGTGGTTTGGACGGATAGATCAGGTCTTTTCTCGTTGAGTAGTCGTTCGAGGTTCAGGTTCCAGATTTCCATTTCTTAGACAAAGATTTGTAGAATAGGGGATACTTGAAATTCTTCCTTTTGAATTCTTCGTTAATTAAACCGACCCGATTTGTCCTGTACAGTTACTGTCAGATAGCTATCGGGCGTGGGAAGTGTTCAGTGACTTCCGTTAGAAAGAGGATGTCGCTGTAGTACTCAAGCGTACAGAGCGGCACTAATACGATAGAGTGAGCTCGGATCAGTCTCGAGCTGCTAGGAGTACGTCTGCTTCGTCGGTGAGCATGACACCACTTCAGCGGTAGGCAAGATTGGAGCGAGCTGCGAGAACTTCTGACCGCGCTCACGCAATTGCCTTTGACATTTCTCTCCGGTTATAGTGCCGCTGGGAACATTGCTTGAGGCGCCTTGATCGGCATTGTAGAGATCCGCATACTCTATTGGGAATGTAGGGAGCCGAATGATCCATTTGGAACCTTTGTAGTGGGGAATCCGGAACTCATGCTGCACAGGTCTAATTTCCGTACCATTGATATCCAAGTTGAAGCGCGTGGTGACAGCCATGGCGGGAAGAGTTGTCAAGACCATGAAAAGGGTGCTACCTATGAACAGAAGCTCGGTTAGAAGATTGAAACTCTGAAGAGAGTGCGGAACAACATGAAAGATGCGGCTTCAACACCATGCCAGAAGAAAATGAAAATGAAGGTGTGCAGTAATAAGTCTTTGCTGTAGGAACGAACACTTTCAATGTCTTTCGTGATACCTTTTGTCCAGCTTGACTCATCCGGGCAACACTGGCGTGTGAAATCAGTCGAAATGCAAATGAAGCATAAGAACGAGTTGCTGAACATTGCGTTAAAGATTATGATAGATGTAAGAAGCTCTTCAAAGTCATGCAGACAGCCCAAGCGGACCGCAAAGCTCTACTGACCGTCCATCGAAGGTGGGAAGAAGCCGACAAGGTTCAGGCGGAGTCGCTGATTTTGAAATGATTACCCTCTTGTGATTCTGCGGACAGTATAGCCACGACGCCGTCGATGTACTGCCAGCAGATCTGCCTGGACAACTGCTCTGCTACGGCATACACTGGGTGGGTTCTACGAAGAGGCTCTTGAGCGAGAATTCCGGTCCTCAGAGGACAGAGAAACTTTCGACACAGCTGCTCAAGTTGTGACACATGCAGTTGTTTGAGTCTGAGGTTCATGTTGTGATTGAGTCCATCTCATGGTACGAGAACCATGGCCGGGTGCATGACTTGCTGGATCTCTGGGAAGGTTTGGCGGAAGTAGCCGAGGCCGACTACGGGGACCGATACCCGCTCGAGGTCATTGTGACAAGTCCTACGCAATGTTTGCGTCTACCTAGATGGCAGGCAAGATCCGGCTCGGTCCACGGTCTCTTAGCTTTCGCAGAAGCTTGCAGTACAGTACAGTACAGTACAGTACATGATGCGGGAATGAGCGGACCATGGCTTTGCTTGGATCAGCAGATGATGTCCGAGGAGTAGTTAAGAGTCGTGCAGTGCATGCATGCATCCAATGCGACTGGCATGTGACATGTGACATGTCAGCAAGTGATGTCAGAAAGAAGCTTCAAGGTAACTTAACATGATCCCGGTGAATGAAGAGTAAATTTCATTCGGCGGGCGTGTGCCGTTCCGATTCGGGACGCGCCCCACGCGTCTGCGGGTGTTTAATGTCGATCCTTTGGTGTACCTTGCAGAAGTCTGCCGGGCAGGTGGACAAGAACATGAACACCAATGATCAGATCCAATCACTCGGACCACCTGAATCTGCAAACATTGTTCTTGGCCTTTGATCACCGACACCGACACCGACACCGACAACACCCACTTCTTTACAACATCCCCCCTTCCATCCATCATCACGACGGAGGAAATGAAAGTGTGAAGAGAGACCCCGCCCTTTGTTCGATTCCATCCCACCCGCACCCGCACCCACTATGGACGACCATGCGAACCTGATTTCCAACATCAGCGCGGCATTGCAGGCGACGTTGAATCCTCGCATTCCCAACGATGTTCGCCAACAAGCCCTCCAACACCTCGAGGCCGTCAAATCCCAGCCCGACGCGCCACAACATGGCTTCACCCTCGCCGATGACTTTCAACAGGATGATGCCGTACGGTATTACGGTCTGCAGTTGCTGGAATTCGCCGTGAGATATCGGTGGAATGAATACACCACCGATCAGACGGATCAGCTGCGCACATGGGTCAAATGTTTGGCGGGAAGTCTACGAGAGCAGGATGCTCGCCTGCTGCGCAACAAAATCGCTCAGTTGTGGGTGGAAGTGGCCAAGAGATGTTGGGGAGACGACGAGTGGATGGACATGGATCAATTGTTGGGGAATCTGTGGGAGAGGGATGGCAAAGGTGCGTCGAATAAGCTGCTGGTGTTGGGCATATTGGAGGCCTTGAGCGAGGACATCATCAACCACGAGGACGCCGTGGCTGGCTTGAGACTGGATGTGCTGGGACACGCCTTGAATGAGATTATGATTCCCGCGGAATTGTATGCTCGACATGCGCAGACTCGAGGGGCGAGACAGGAGGTGCGGTGTGGGGAGGAGGGATGGTTGGCGAGGATGTGCGAGTTCTTCGGATTGTGTGTGCAAGAGGCGAGGAATGGACGGGATGTGGCTCTCTACGAAGCGTGTGCGATGAGTGCGTTGAACGCCATTCGTCCCACGATGAGCTGGATCAACCTCCGGGCGGCCGAGGAGATCAACTGTGTCGAGGTTCTCTTCGTCCCACTCCACACCGACAATATCCCTCTACAGACTGCCGCGATTGAAGTTCTGTATGCGCTGCTGAGTCGGCCATACAATGTGCACTTCAAAGACACTTGGACCCATCTTCTCAAGTCGGTGCTGCATCGAGATCGCATGGCCTTGATCCGGAGAGCCTTTGAGAACGCCATGACGGGACCCGGCGAGGACGACGAAAAGTACACCTTGCTGAAGAAGTTGTCCGAGCTGCTCTCCGTTTTGGCCGATGCCATTGCCTTGCAAACAGATCTGATCGATGACTCGGTGGATCTGCCTGCCGTCTTCGACTTGCTCATCTTGGTCCTCCAACACAAAAGTCTGACAGTCTCTATCCCGGTACTGCACAGCTGGACAAAGATGGTCAATGCTCAGGAGGATGCCATTGTCGATCTGGTTCTTGCTGCCCTTCCCACTCTCCTCCAGACGTGTAGCGAACGTCTGCTCCGCTATGAAGCACTCCCCGAAGACTCCGAGGACGAAATCTCTCAATTCCTATCCGAAGACTTTGATACCATTCCCGAACGCCACGCTTTTCTGGGAAACTATCGTCGCTATTGCAACACCATCATCACCTCCATTGCTCGTTCTCGACCAATCGATGCGCTGTCGTTGGTCTTGCAGGAAATGCAGTCGATGCTGGAATATGGCCCATACACCTCGGCTCGAGGCTTTGACAGCTCGAATTACTCCCGAAACGCTCTGCCTATACTCAAGTTTGATGCCCAGTTCAATGTCGTTACTAGCGCGCTGAGAGGTTATTCTGCCTGGGTGGGGGACGTATCAGATATCACCCCCGAACAACCTCTATACATGAAGGTACAGAAAGACTCACAAGAGGCATCGGAATCTCTACAACAATGGAGCGGCGGGCTGGTCAACATACACACTGATGATCCCGCAGTCGCGGAGCAAGTGCTCTGCACGCTGGTTATGGTTTTGAGATATCTCAGGTCGCCACCGCCAAACTTTGTCTTGAGTATGGTCCAGCATCTCCTCACCATGAGGTTGTATGACCACCCCGCACACACCGCCTTCTCTGATGCTGTGAAAGGGTTCGAGGCGTTGCGCGTCGTGGAGTTGCAAAAGATGGCTCTTACCTTTTCAAACGCTTTACTCGATGTCTACCACGAACTCGAGCCTCGGATTGAAGTCCTTGTTCAGAAACATGCCGATGACCAAAGGCTCGTCTGGGGCTACAAAGCGTTCTTGTTTATGATCCTCCATCGCGCAACCACAGAGATTGACAAGGACATGCGCATGAACAAACTCAACAGTATGATGAAACCGCTCTTCGACGCCTGGACAGACCCCACCCTCACCGTCTCCGTGGAATCGTTGCAATCATTCTGCGATGCGATCGGGATGGACGACTTGCCTTCATTTTACAAGTCCCACGGCTTCGACACAATCCAAGACTGGTCCACTACTCAACTGAACGATTCTGGTGTTGCCCGACAAACCTCAATCACCTCCAAAGCCAACCACCTTCCCCTACGAATGACCAAATCTATGCWCAGCGCGACGACGGAAAAGCTCAAACCAAACACTGAACAGTATGAGAACGCCCGCTATCTGTGGACGCCGCTTATACCAAAAATACTGCCCAATCTTCTTCAAATGCTTCGTCATGCGCAAGCTTTTCACAATCTCACCCACTGGTCTTACCTCCCTCCGGAACTTCAGGCGGTTGTGAAACGCACCCTCCAGGACCGCTTCTGGCAGAGTGGTATTTCCAATGAAAGCAAAGACGAGTTCTACGCCCGCGTTTCCGGCTCGAAATCATCATTCGAGGGCTTCGCGAGTACAGTTCGAGGAACGATGCGGAATGTCCGCGAACAAGGATATCACATCCTCTACCTAATGACGAAGTTTGATGAGGAGTTTTACGGAATCGGAGAGGGCTTCCCGGAGATGTTGGCGGAAGTGCTATTCCAGGACGCCGGGTGTCTGAGTGCGAACCATTTGCATCCCATCATCAATCTGACAACAGGATTGGTGCAGAGATGTCCTCCACATTTACGAAGAGGTTTCCTGCCGCCGGTGCTGAGAGGACTCTTTCAGACCATGGACAAAAAGATTTCTTCAGAATGGGAAGCCATCGGTGCCGCGGCCGATCGAACAGAGGAAGATGAAACTGGTCTTGGAGATGAAATGCGAACGGAAAGTGTTCTCCGACAATTGACATTCAGCATGGTCTCCTTCGTCCCATTCTTGTTGGAATTCGACYGCCAAGCTCCTCCCGCAGTATCAAACGGTTATCGCGGCCACCCCATCTCCACAGCAACAGCAGCTCCAACCAACTCTCCCACTCTCAGCGATCTCCTACTCCAAGATCCCACATTACTGGAACCTCTGATCCTGTTTTGCACCCACGCTTTACGGACAAGGGACACGAGATGTTGCAGCCTCATCTGCAAAGTCTTCAAAACCATCATCCCGATTTTTGCAAACTCCTCTAGTAACAGCACCATTTCCCCGGAAACAATCACTTCGGTGAGGGAGTTCATCAGCACCGAAGTTTTGAAAGCTTGTATCGAAAGCTTGCATGAACCATATTTTGCGGAATTGCAAAAGGATTTGGCGAGCGTCATTGCGAGTATCTTGCAACTCTACGCTGCTCTCACGGGAACTCCGAAGAGTGTGCTGGAAGGACTACCTGGTGTCGGAGCGAGGCGAATCGAGGCTGCGATGGAGAAGTTGAGGAGTACGAGAAGTGAGAGGGGTGCCCGGGGCGTTGTGCTGGAATTATTGGAGGGCGTCAGGGGGAGAGGTGTCGCCGAGTTGGGAAGAGTGGAGGTTGGCAAGGTTAAGCGGAAAGGGGAGACGCAGAAGAAGTGGATGGAGGTTGAACAGACGACGACGGGGACTGGTGGAGTGGGTGTGGGAGGTGGTGGTGAGGAATTGGAGGGTTTGGCGGGGTTGTTTGGGGAGGGGTGAAACGACGATTTGCGCGCGTTCTATTATGTGTGTGTTGGTTTATATACCCTGGGATCGATTGAGAATGCATTCGTTGGCGATTTGTTGTTGTGATTTTGAGAGAATTGGCACGAATGCATGTGGCCTTTTAAGGTATCTTTGATACTTTTTATTCCTGTGGATTTTTGGTGACGCCTCCTTTTTTCTCCAATATTGCACGTGATTCTGAAAAGATCCTAATTGCTAGGTATGTACAAGACCATCTTCCACTTTGCTCCCCCAGTTGAACTAATCCAGCCATAGATAGCGATCTCCCAAGAACCAGACAGATTCCACGATAAAAAAACCCCCTGCTATCAATATAGATAGAGAAAGAAAGAAGAACTATGGGCTGTTCCATCTTCCCCCCTATCAATCAATCAATCACAAACTGTAAAATTTTCTCTAATATTCAAGAAATCGCAGTTATTACGCAAAGAAAGGATGGCTCAGGACTTCCCTTCTCTTCCGCCCGATTTTTGCTCCTCTCCTCTCTCTTTTCAGTTGATTTTTTTTTCTGGAGAGGGAGAGGAATCGACCGTCTGATGGACTTTTGTTAGCGGCGGGTATAGCCGAGCCAATGAGAGTAACCCACCCTCACGCAATGACGAGGAAGGGGGAGACCGCCCCTTTTGTTTGCTCGCTCTCTGGCAAGTCGAACTTTTTAGGAGGGCGAGAGGAATGGTTGTTTTGATGGACTTTAATTAGTGCCGGCTAGTGCCGAGCCAATGGAAGAAACCTCACGTAAGGAAGAGGGAGGTAAAGACCGCCCCTTTTGCTTCTCCGCTCTCTGGAAGGGAGACCTTTTCTGGAGGGTGAGAGGAATGGTTGTTTTAATGAGCTTTAGCTAGCGGCGGGTAGAGCCTAGCCAATAGGAGGAACTTCACGCAAAGAGGKGGAAGGGGGAGACCGCCCCTTTTGTTCTCGCTCTCTGGAGGGGAGACCTTTTTTGGGAGGGTGAGGGTCAGGTTGTTTTGATGTACTTTAGCTAGCGGCGGGTAGAGCCGAGCCAATGACAGGAACTTCACGCAAGGAGGAGGAAGGGGGAGACCGCCCTTTTCTTCTCGGCTGTCTTTGTTTGCTCTCTGACAAGTTGAACTTTTTTGGGAGGGTGAGAGGGATGGTTGTTTTGATGGACTTTATTAGCTAGCGGCGGGTAGAGCCGAACGAATTAGATGCACTGTTGAAGTTTGTTTGGGATCATGTGAATTATGGATAGATGTGTAGTTGTGGTGAGTTTTGAGCGTGTCGGTTTGTATAGTAAGGTGATGTATATGGAGATGTGACGGCTCAAGATCGACTGGTTAATTTGGGAGATTAGAGGAATCTTACACTGCACTGCATGGATGGACATGAGGACTTATTCTTCTTTGACCATCTATCCTCCATACGAATTCTAATCATCAAAATCGTTACTCCGCTAAAATCCATCCCAAATCATGACATGGCATCCACAACAACAACAGCATCAATCCCCATCATCTACTGCAAATAATAAACCTTGCCCTCAAACAACCTCCTCGCAGTCCGAAAAACCGCAACCCCCTCAACCTCTCCCTCCCCAGACAAATGCACATCAACATCCATATCACCACCCGGATGTCTCAAATGCACCTTCTCGACCCCAACCACCAATCCCGAATCCTGCCTCTTCAAAGGCCTTGCCACGCGGGATTGCGATCGAAGTTGATACGCCACACTCCCCGGAACACAAGCTGCAGATCCAAGACACACGGCTCCTGTCAATTGTAAGCTACCGTGCACTTTCCCCATCGAGTACGCCACAACTTCCACGTCCGTTACATCTGCTTCATCTCGTCTCGTGGGTTCTTTCAAAACAGCAATCTTGGGAGTCCCTCGAGTAAGAGCAGCCGTCTCGATATCCTCCGCAAGACCCATCATCACCGCAGCTTTCTGTCGAACAAGTTCAATGAAATCAATCGATTCGGAAGCCGCAGGACCCTTTTCCGCAAAGAAATTCGGGAGAGTAGTCGCATCCACGAAACAAAAGGGGTTCGCGGCATCGATCATGCTGACGGATATAGCAATGGGTTCCAACAAACCCAGGGGACTTTCGATGAGGATGGTATCCAAAGGTCGGTCCGTGGGGAGGAGTTTGCCTGTCATTGCACCGGCGGGTTTGGCAAATGTCATTGCTACTTGACTTCCTGTTGATCGGAGACCTGGGAGTGCGCAATCGCCGTCTTCGAGAAAGTGGCCGTCGCTGTCGACTTTGACTGTTTCTACCACGATGGCGTTGGTGTTGGTGTTGAAGACTCGTACTTGTACCTGAGAATCATCATGATTATGATCAGAATGAATTGGAAATTGGGAATTTCGTGCTGGAAATGAATAAATGATTGGAAAGACATACCTCCGTCTCTCCAGGTTTCACCTCAACAATCCCCTCATCTATAGCGAATGGTCCCACTCCCGAAGCAATATTACCACAGTTTCCCGTCATATCCAATTTCGGACTTCCAAGCGCAACTTGCACAAACGTATAATCAACATCAGCATCCTCCCGCTTCGAAGGAGCCACAACAGCAACTTTGGAAGTGGTAGAAGTCGCCCCGCCAATCCCATTCAATTGTTTCGGATCGGAATCATAAGATCCCATGACACGGGTAATCACACCCGCCCAATCATCCTGTTGGACGGGAAGATCTTTCCGATGGAGGTAGAGACCCTTGGAAGTCCCTGCTCGCATCCATACTGCAGGCAGGGCTTTTCGTTTTCGAAGATGTGTTGTGATTTCAGGAAGTGGTACGACGTGAGGGACTGCGCTGGGCATTGTTATAAAAGGTAGGGGAACTGTAGTGGGAAGACGATGTGAGATTGCGGTTGCTTCGAGGTGGAATAATGTGGCTGTTTTCTTGAACATTTGCACCGGCGATAGAGGAGGAGAAAGGTCACTTTTTCCTTACCTCATGTTGGCTACGCGGACTTCTTTATCCATCTTGGCGGGCGCGAATAGTCGTGTCTACTCGCGTAACTTGTTGGTCCCTACCATCATCCACGGACGGTCCGRAAGGGAGAAAAAGAGATAGATGTTGCTAGAATCCATCCATCCACTGCTTGAATCATCCCGCGGGGATTTCAAACATCCATGGAACATGACTTTCCGTGGGACTCGAATTCTCATCCCCAGCTTCCCCATCCTCAATACCACACCATACGCCGCTAGCGCACCCCACAGACCCATTGTCGCGTGAGAATAGCCTCTTCAAAGCCATGTGGAGGTGCAAAGATCCGGAGTCGCCGATCCGTGTGGTGTCGTTCGCAGCAAATGCCACGAGGGTGATAAAAAGGCTTGGACGTTGCTTGGTTTTCTCTTGGAAGAATTTCAATTGTGCCCGCTCCCAATCATCTCTCCTCTCTCTCCCCTAGTTACGACTCATCATCGCCTCGAACCAAGACATTTCACAAAGCTTGAAAGCCCGAGAAGCCTTTCCTTTGGCGGCTTGGAAGAGCAATAATGCCTGCTCGCCATGCAACCCCCTTTCTAATGTCCACGCCTGCTCCACAGGAAATCTATAACAAGAATGTGTACTTTACGGCAATGATTGCTTCCATGGGAGCTTTCATTTTCGGCTATGATTTGGCATTTATCGGAACGACCATAACGCTGCCAGATTTCAAAAAGGACTTTGGGCTTTTACATGCCTCGCAAGAAACTTCGGATTTCTTTTCAGCAAACATTGTCTCTCTCCTACAGGCGGGATGTTTCTTCGGATCCGTGGCCGTACAACCTTTGGGTGATCGATTGGGGCGGAAGCCAACGATCATGGTCGCGGGGCTCTTATTCTGTCTGGGATCATTGATGCAGACGGTCAGTTTTGGAACCGTGGCGGCGATGTTTGTGGGAAGGTTCATTGGTGGTCTGGTAAGTATCCCCGATAGCTTTCCTGAATGGTTAAGAGAAGCTCAGAAGTGACATTGACCATCAATAGGGTGTCGGACTCGCCAGTGGCATGGTTCCCCTTTATATTGCCGAACTGGCTCCGCCTTCGATCAGAGGCCGTTTGGTTGRCATCTACGAGATCAGCGTCCAGGCCGGAACTTGTGTCGGTTTCTGGATCTGCTATGGTGTGAAGCAGAACATGGCCCCGACTTCTGCACAGTGGATCACACCATTCGCCGTACAATTACTTCCTGGTACACTTCTCGTCATCGGCATGTTCTTTGTTCCAGAGTCTCCCAGGTAAGTGATGGTCGTCATAAATAGACATATCCCCAACAAGGCTAACCTCGTCATCAAAGATGGCTCGCTCAGCACCGCTCGCGCGACGCTGCTTGTACCGCACTTATCAGAATGCGCCAGATTCCCGCCGATCATCTGTATCTCGTGGAAGAGCTATCTCAGATCATGGACGTCGCAGATGAAGAGAATCGATTCCATCTTGAAGGTGGCGCCATGGCAAAGTGGCGGGCCTGTCTCAAACCTGGCAATCGCAAGCGGATCCTGCTCGGTGTACTCGTCTTCACATTCATGCAGTTTGCCGGCTCCAACGCGGTAAGCATCTCCTTCCCCCCATTTGGCAGAATCAAAACTGACGGCAGGATAGATCAACTACTACAGTCCTCGAATCTTCGCCTCAATAGGTCTCAAAGGCTCCTCGACAAGTCTTTACGCGACGGGAATATACGGTGTCGTCCGCCTATGCTGCGTGATTCCCACCATGTACTTCTTCGTCGACAAGTTTGGCCGTCGAAGTCTGCTGATTGTCGGAGCCGCCATCATGCTGGTCGGAATGTGGTTCATCGGCGCATACATCAAAATTGCAGCACCAAATGCTGCCAACGCCGAGCTCACTCCGGGTGGATACGCGGCCGTTACCATGATCTATATCTACGCCATTGGGTACTGCCTCTCATATGCGGGGATCCCTTGGATCTACTGCGCAGAGATCTTTCCTCTTCAGATTCGTGGAATCGGGATGGCGACATGTACTGCGGTGCATTGGCTACTGAACTTTGTGATAGCGAGGAGTGTGCCGTACATGATTACCAACATCGGGTACGGGACGTACTTCTTCTTTGCATCATGCATCACACTGAGCATCCCATTCGTGTATTTTTGCTTGCCGGAGACAAAGGGCCTGTCCTTGGAGGAGGTCGACGTACTGTTTGAGGGCCCAGGAGGAGTGCAATCCGAGATCCTTGTGGAGACTGGCAAGCTGCCGGAGACGGATCATGTCGAGCACTCACACATCGAGCCGAAGCGTGATGTGTGATGCGTGATGGTAGACATTGGCAGTCTCAGGATAATTATGTTTTATGAGCGACGGCAGCATATATCAAACGAACGAGATTATGATTTCATCACATCATGTCCCGTAATTTGCTTCTCAACAACTTGATGTCCCTTTCGAGAGGAGGCTCTCTAACATTCAAGGAGTGTCTTGTCGATTCGTCAGTATTGTTGAAAGGCCGAAGTGTTGAATCCGAACAAGGTATCGTCAAAGCCAGAAAAGTATGCTCCATTGACTGTCTGATCCTGAACATTTCCGAGCATTTCATAGTTTTGGCCAGGACCATTGACGTAGTTCTGGTCTACCGTGTACATTATCGGACCATTGGATTGTTGCTCCTGCATGAAACTGTTGATGATGGCGTCCACATCCAACCCCGGGACAAACTCGCCGGCAACCATTGTTGGCTCGGGATATAATGAGCTTCTAACGTGCCCCTGATTTTGTGCGACTCTAGCTGGCTGTAGAGATTGCGGATATGGTGGCATATTGTTGGAGGGTGTTAATTGGACATTTGTGGAGGCACTCCCCTGCGAAGGGCTGGGCCTCCCTTCGTCAGCACGTGGCTCTCCAAAAGACACTTCCATTCGTTTCATCAGCGCCTCGATAACCATCTGTGCCTTTCGTACAGCGTGATTGGTTTCCGAGTTTTGCTCGAAGACGGACAGGCATGTACGCAGATGCTCGTGTGCGTCCGAGTTGGACRCTCTGGTGGCGGCGATTCGAACGTGAATTGTGGCGGCGACATATGTTGCATAGGATATCAAATATGGAGCTCGTTTCACCGAGAAGGACTTGTCGTAAAGTCTCACGAGCTTGACAATGTTCATGGCTGCCTCTGTACATGCTGCAAACGACGATTTGGAGGTAGATGGTAGTGTCAGATGTAAATGGCCATCGGCAACCAACGGGCGATGAAGTAGAATTCGAAGTGCGTTCCACATGGTTCTGCGATGTTGTCAGCCAGTGCTGGGGGGATATTCTAGGCAGTTACTCACTGCAGCGAAAAAACATGGGGAGGCGGAATATGCTGATTGTTGTCTTGAGAAAGATCAATGTGTAGATGTGTTGGCAAGCTGGCCCTCCAATCTTGTGTACGTGCCTCTAGAGATTCCAAATCTCGTAKGMCGTCTTCWGYWT